TGCGTTTCATCTTGTAAAAAAAATAGTAAAGGATGGTTGGTAAGGGGTAAATAAACAGGAAAGGACAGGGTGGGCGTCGCTGGTGACGAGTCCGATATCAGTTGTCGAAGTCTGCTGAAGTCGACAATGGGCCGGAAAGTCTTTCAGGAAAGACTCGGGATGGCCCTTGATGCTCCTGCTGAACGGCTTTCAGTGCTCCGTCGAGGGCCCTTCTTCAATGCTAATTATCTCAAACGTGATCCTAATTTAACCGGATTCAGAGGTTCGTGGAGAGAGTTGGAAATTCAGCCGTTTCAAAGCTAAGCCGTTTTGCACCTTAACTTGAACCCTCGCCCCGTTTTATATTCAGCCCCATCAACATGGCAAAGTCAAAGCTACCTTGTCCCTACTTGTACTTTCAGACGGAAGATTTCGTTAACTTTTCTTCATAATGAAATGTCTGTGTCGAAAATTGTTTCAAAGCTTTATTATAGAACATTTCCTTAATTCAGAATATACTTTGGATGATCTTCACACTCAAGAGGGTAAATTTTCCAGCCATATTTTTGCTTTTTTTTTAAAGGCTCGATTTTTTTTCTTGCATTTAGAACATGAATATAGAGTTCTTCGTTTCAAACATTTACGTTTTTATGCAATTTTGTTTTGTTGAAGAATCAAAAGAGACTATTTAAACAAAAAGCCTTTTCTTAAAAATTTCGAACCGACAAATCTTAAAATGAATGCTTTCTACCTGAAAATTATATTTTATCAAATCATATTAAGAAAACTTTTTAAAAAATAAATTTCACCCGTTTCTTATCGTTTTTCGCTTTGCAACTCTTCCGTCCAGGTAAATTGAATAATGACAAATAGATTTTGGCCAAAATCGCCCCATACCGCAATTGTGTCCGATTGCATGATGCTTGAATGGATTTTCGTTCCTTCTCATGGTTTATTAATGACTCGGCTACCAGTCAACTCCTTAAATTGCATAATTACAAGTACCTCCCATTTAAATGGATATTATGTTCATCGTGAACCCACAAACGTCATACGAGCCTAAGGGAGGGCATTTTCCAAAGGAAAATTAGAGATTAATTAAACTTTTCCCCTTTATTTGAAAATCCAAAAACAACACAAATGCAAAATGTGACGAATTAAAATTTATAGGATTTGTTTGCTGTAAATAACTGTTTTTCTCAAATATTGATGATCTCCTAACGAACCAGAGAAAATGTTTTTAATTAGTGATAAAGTGTTTCTTATTCGAATTGTTTAATTGGTAAATGTTTATTTAGCATAAATCAGAGAAGACTTTTATATTGAAAAAGGTTCGACTTATGTCGAAATATAATTTTTAAAAAAGGAAAACTTTTCTCCTGAAAATTATTCTATTTGTTGTTTCTATTGACCCAAATGGTACAAATCTCCTCCTAATTTAATTGTGAATTTTTATCATGACAAAGCAAAAATCTTTTATTCTATTTGATCTATTTAAATAATAAAACGTACAGTTCCAAAAATCTTTAGTTTTTCTTAACATTTGAATCTTACTTAAATTTTAATTACAGTGAAATTTTCCATTTTATTGTTTATTGTTTTTGTTTCAGAAGACTTTATATTGAGATGTTCTACTCCTCTATACCAATTTCAAATCAAATTGAATGGTGTTAAAAATCTAAGAAATTTAGCAATAAAAATGGTACACAGGAGGGGGCCAAGAATGCTCCCTTGTGGGATGCCAGCTTGTAATCCGTTATCGGAGAACTCGTTGCCATACCTCGCTGTGATGAAACAGTTCAATAGGACTCCAGGATAAGGCAATAAGACGTAGCTTAAAGGATACCTGGGTGCCCGACCTTATCAAAAGCTGAGCCATATCCAGGAACGCACCCAAGAAATTTGTCTCTGTTTATACGCCTTAATACCATATACAGATGATCCCGCAATTTTGTCAATTAACCCGAATCCTATTCAACCAACTTTCAAATCGAAGAACAACTCGAGATTACCAAAGACTTGCGCAAAAAGCATGAGAATGAGTAAAAGTGCACAGTTTGACCTTCATCATCGACAACTACAAGCTACCGTCTTCCACTCAAGTTAGGTACTTAGCTTAACCGAACGCTTTGACAAATATGAAGATCTTTAGGAACAAAATTTGTTTTAACCGTGATAACAAAATCATTTAGTGATAGATTAAAAACAAACAAACAATTTATTGCCTGGTTTACTCTAAATAACGCCTCCCGGAGGGCCTTAAGTCGTCCAGGCATCGAGTAAACAAGCGGTCGGATTTCGTCTTGTGAAACAGGAACCCCAATTTTCAACGAAGCGGTTTGAAGCTGTTCACTGTCCCATAAGTGTTCTTTAAGAATCATGACAAGAGATCATGCTGGCCAATTCATTGTGGTAGTCCCTACATCCTCCATGTAATGGGTGACAACTTGAACTACAAATTGTAACACGATATTTTTCCCAATAAACTTAGCTTTTTATAGAAACTTCCTCAATGTACCTTAGTGGAGTCAAAGGTCCATTCTGTATGATAATCAGTTCAGTACGGGCATGGACGTTGATTTTACCCCATAACTGACTGTCTTAGAAGGGTGTGACTCACACATGGCACATGACTCAAAGCATTATGTAAATCTTCTCCACATACGGTGCCGGTCATTTGATTGCCACAACAACGGAACAGCGCTCCACATTTTTCAAGGGTCTAATCGAGATATTGTTTGGTAATAGTTGTAGTTAATGCCTCTCCAGTAGTACCAGTACGCAGGACGTCTAGAGGCTAGGCTATCCTCTGATGACTTTTAGAGCTCACCATTACATTACGAATCGTTTATTCGTACTTATGAAGGAAATAGTTATTGGGCCTACTTTCATGTATGCTCTGTTTAATCATTCTAATCATGAACCGTTCCAATATTCCCAGCTGCCAGGGATATTGGATCACGTTTTTCCTCAGATATTGAAATTATACTAGAACAAAGTACTTTTCTTTTTCTAAAGTTTCAGAAGCCTTTAATTGAGATCTTTCATGCATTAACGCCAATTTTATATCCTATTTAATATTTTTTTATATATGTCTTTTATCTTTTTTATTTAAATGGAATTCATGGAAGAAAAAGTTTGGTAAATTAGGACAAAGTATAGCCATTTTGAAGTTTTTTAAGTACATATTTTACGCATTTAACCAAAATGTTTCCATTGAGTAGTTTATAAAATGATTCAGTTGAATCGTATTTATTTTTTCTCTTAGTCGCATAAACGAGTCTTTTAATCATTTTATTATTAATGTATTATTAGACAATTCAAGCTAGTCGTTTTTTACTTTTCCCCCCGAAATGTTTGTTGAAAGGATAGGCAAAGTACAGTCATTTTGATGTTTTTTGCATTCCTTATGCATTTACGCAAAATGTTTGTTTCAATTGAATATTAAACAAAATGGAATTAATTGGATTGTCTTCGCTTTTGATGAAATCCATGGAAGGAAACCTCTCCTAGTCTCATTTACTCGCTATTTGATCATTTTAATCCTGAATTATTTGAAAAACAAACTAGTTATTTTTAATTACTAATTTACACTAAATCTCTCTTCTAACGACAAGAGTTTATATTTTATTGAACTGTAATGTAAACGATTTTCTGCCTTCACGGAATTATTGCGTAAACTGCAAAGTTTTCGTTGTGTCTCGCGATCAAGTAAATTTTGCAATGTTCAAAATTGGGACCAAGGGAATTGGAAATCTTTTATACTTTTGCAGTAAGCTATTCGATAATTTAAATAACGTAGGATTTAACACAAGTTAGAAGGGATTGATTTTATTTTATTTTTTATTTTTTGTATTAGACAGTTTGGTGAAATTGTAGGCAGACAAAGAACAACAGATTTTGTTGTTTTCTCTTATGAATTCACTACGACAAATGTTTCAATTTTTTTGTTAATGGAATCAATGAAATTATTTTCATTTTTTATGGAATTAAGCGTTATTTGATCATTGTAACTATGAAATGTTTGAAAATCCGAGCTCTCCCTCTTTAAGGAGGGGGTTCTCTTTATCCTATCTAATTTTGGCTTGTTTTCACAAAAACGACAAAAGCATATATTTTATTTATTTTTGGTTTGTTTTATGCTATTTTCTACCTTTATGGAATTCTTGTGGAAAAATATGAATAGCGCATTTTTCAAAATTAGGACGTAAGAAGTGTTTTGTATACTTTTGAGTATGCTCGGTTTGATTTAAAAAATTTATTATTGTTGGCTGAAGCTTGTTTTTTCTTTATCTGTAGTTTCTTCTGGGGATTTTTGTTTATAAATTTTTCTCTCATTTTAAATAGAATCGAAAGCTCATATAAATAGTGTACAATTATTGTACGGGTTTATATTAACACTGGGAATCATTGAACACCGACAACACACATAAACAGTTTGATTACCGAACGGTCTTGCAAAACACGTGCTTTACGGCTGTAAAATAACAGATCTCGTTTTATTTAAGTTCTGTTTGCCAGTCTGAGAACGGCTTACAACTTACAGAGTAACCAAGTTTCAACCAAGACCTTACATAAAAAGATTAATTAATTGAAAGAAGTAATTTGGTCAATCAGACCATTAAATATAATGGATATATAGAGTAAAGTTTGGATTCGTTTTTGAATGTCAATATTGTTTCTTTTTTCAGGCTTGCTTTCGAAATATATTCAGACAATAAATAATTCATTTTAATATCGTCACATTTGATTGAATAATGAAGGTGAATTCGTGTAATGAAACAGATATCAGCCACGTGAAAGGCTTTTCATTTTGAAAAAAGAAAAAGAAAAGAACATTAAAGCATCATCCTTCTTTATTTATTGAATAATATTTTTGGTGTTTTCTTTTTTTTTCTTTTAATTTTTCATTGATATTCGTTTTAACTCAAAATCGCGATTTAAAAAAAAATTAAGTTTTTTTGGGGAATTTACATCCAAAACTTTGGCTTTTATTTTTGGTTTTGTCTCGTCCGACTCACCTGCATAAAGGACGAGGGTGATGATTGCAAACGCAATTAGTCCCAGGCGCTTCATCGCTGTTGGTCTGGCGGGCGTCGCTTGTCAAAAGAGAGGTGCAGAACAGGTCGAGGGCGGCTCGGGGGTGGCCGGTTCATCGTGGTGGGGGCTGCATCATCCCCGCCGCCCCCGAACCGATTCCACGTGTTAATCGAGAGCCGCCAATTTTAATACGGCTTAATGACAAATTAAGAAAAAAAATTGAGCGGTTAAGGATAATCATATCACACGAAAAGATGCTCGAGAGGCGAATAAATACAGGGTGTTCGGTTATTCGTGTTACAAACTTTACCAGTAGATTCTACATTCAAAATTGAACCAAAAAGTCCTAATTAACAATGGTCTGAATCTCAGCAGTTTCGGAGTTATTCTCCTTTTTCTGATTTTTTAATATTTTACGACCTTGCTTTAAATATGCAATAATAACTCCAAAACTAAAATGTTTTAAACAAATCCATTGATACCATTGAAGACTACGTTAAATTTCCAATAAGATATGAACAATACTAAACCTGTAAACGTGTGTGAAATAAGCATTTCAGTAGCCAGAACTTTGAAAAAAAAAAAATTCTGAGTTGACAAATTTACTATGGTGATTCTAAACTACTATTTCCAAACCTAGAAGCGAGCAAATTTCAGAAAACGTATTTCATTTAACTTCCTTTCTATTGATATAATTAATTATTTAATTATTTTTTCATAGATGAAGAAATTGGTGAAGGAAAGTAAAAACCGTGGTTGACGGATTGGTAAGGCAGAAAGATTAATAATAATAAAAGAATTAAGGAAATTTTGAATGAATGAACTAAAAATGTTTTGAATCATACAATTCTGGGGAATAATAATACAATAATCCTTTGATTCCACAATATAAAAACATTCGTAAAATTTTAAACTGAAATTTTGTCGACATTTCTGAAATAATATTGGTCAAGAAAGGACTGTTATAAAAAATATATATGTTCTAAATGATCAACTTATTGATGAAATGATCAGAAATTAAATACATTCGCAAGATTTTAAAATGCAAAAGTTTGTCTACCCTTCATGGAAAACATGTAAAAAAGAATAGACTTTTATTCATCAGACCTTTATGATTTTAATCATGGATTGTTCTAAATCTAACTTTTCAAATCTCGAGATTTTCCTCAATTCCACAATATCAAAATATTGGTAAAAATGAAAACTGCGAAATTTTGTCGACATTTGTGAAATAATTTTGGTGAAGAAAGGACTATTTTTAATATGTACTACATGATCAACTTATTGAAACTCATTCACACAATTTTAAAATGTAAAATTTTACCTACCTTTATTGGAATACGTGCGAAAAAGTAGGGACTTTTATTCTTAAGACTTGTATGATTTTATTCTAAAATGTTCCAGAATCCTGAGTTTTTCCTCAGTTCCACAATATAAAAACATTCGTAAAAATTTAAACTGTGAAATTTTATCGACATTTATGAAATCAAGAAAGGACTGTTTTTAGAATGTCAACTTATTGTCAATGGTCAACTTATTGATGAAATGATCAGAAATCCATGTTTACACATCTTACAGATAGATTTTTCTGATTTCCTGAGATTAAACTCATTCACAAAATTTTAAAATGTAAAATTTTGCCTACCTTTATTGGAAAATATGTAAAAAAGAATGGACTTTTATTCATAAGGTCTCATTTCTAGTTTTTCTCGATTTCCAATCTTAAATTCGTTCACACAATTTTCAAAGAAGAAATGTTGCCAATCTTTCTTGATATTTATTTGAAAAATAAAGAACTGTTATTCAAACAGCCTATATGATTTTAATTATAGATAATTCAAAAATTCAAGATTTCAGATCTCATAGCTAGTTTTGAGTGATAAGTGAGTAGTCTGTTAGTCTGATTTTCAAAGCTTAAACACCTAAAGAATTTTGAAATCTGAAATTTTATCATTTATGGAATAAGCATGAAATCATATATTGTTCATAAATCTAAGATTGCAGGTGTCATTGTTAGTTTTTTATGGTGTCCAGAACTTAATTTTCAATTGTAAAATTTTGTCAACCTTTATGACAAAAGCTTAAAAAAGATAATTGTCTTTTTTTTATGTGTCCTGTGTGTATCATAATAATCATAGATTGTCCAAAAATGCAATTATGCATCTCTCATTTTATTATTTTCCAGCAAATAAACATATTCATACAATTTTAAAATCTAAACTATGACTTTTTTGATATGTCCTGTAAGAGCATCTTAAAAATGGAATGAACAAAAATCCAAGTGTATTTTTTTTTAAGCCCATATAGTATGTCAGGTTTGAATGCAGGGCTGCTGGATTTGAACCCGGGACATTTACAATGATGAACGGTGTGTCACAATACACACTTATTATTAATGGGCTGTTGGTTCCCTGGAAATTGAATTAATTATTAATTATTGTTTTTTGCTTTCTTTTCAGCATTGTAATCTTAGTATTTCCATTTGGGCAAGAAAAACATACCCAAGTTTTGCTGTCCCATACTGTATTTTTAGTGTAATGCCTCAAATATGTAATAATTGTTGAAATTTTGCAATATAATTCTAATTGATTTTAGAACTTTAATAATTTTAATGATGAATGGTTCAATAGTTCAAGCTGGGAGTGATTTTGCAGTTTCCTTTGGATATGGATGAAAAATTAAGGTGGAACATCGATCCGTTGTGATTATCTAAATCACATATAAAAAAAAATCCAAGCTAGGAATGGAAAAAAACTGGTTTTGTACACCAATGTTTTGACATAATCACAAACTGTTCACATTTCAAGGAATTTTTTTTCCTATTAGCCATGAGACTTAAATTTGAAACAACAAATGCACACAGTAAAACATTTTCAGAATTGAGTACAATTAGAAAAGTCAATAAGCAATACACATCCCTAATTGGGCAAGATTTGAAAAGAAAGAAAGTTTATAATGTACAAAAGAAAGGCTCAAAATTTGATCTGATTTCTTGATGCGGTGAATATCTGAAAAAGATTGACATCAATGTGATTCTAGAAAGAAGCAGGAAAAAATCCCTGACACATTTACCAGAAGACTGTGAAGTTTGAGACCTTTGCCTTAGAAAATAATTTTTAAACCCAGGGTGCAACCAAGGAAAAAAACCTTCTAACAGGTCTAAAAATTAAAACTCACTGGTGAACTATAAATCCAAAAAATAATACCAAATAATGCATTTATTCCAATTAAAATTATTTCATGTAGAGTTAAAGTAGATTTTTCAATGGTAGGTAAAATTAAAAAATATGTCGAGTTAGACAAATTCTGTATTGTTATCAATGGGCTGTTGGTTCCCTGGAAATTGAATTAATTATTAATTATTGGTTTTTGTTTTCTTTTTAGCATTGTAATATTAGTATTTCCATTTGGACAAGAAAAGCATACCCAAGTTTTGCTGTCCCATACTGTATTTTTTGTGTTATGTCTCAAATCTGTAATAATTGTTGAAATTTTACAAAATTTATGAATTACAGTTCAGATTGTTGCGCAAAATTATAGTCACTTTTTTGGTTCTAGGGTTTGCTTTCAAAAAAAGACAAAAAATTAATGGTCAGTTTAAAATGGTTTCACGAGTAATGACTGACATTTTTGCTGTTTTTTCTGTCGATCTTCTCTGTTTGTAAATATTCAAAGAGTCCAAGTCCACTTTATTCATTACTACGAGCATGTGGAGAAGAGTCAATATAGAAATCAGGAAAGACAAAATGGTACAGCAGATGGCCAAGGGTTCTCGGCTATCATGGAAAAGCATTTTATTCAGCCTGCTACCGAATGAATACGACTTCTCGTCAAATTTTGCTTGACCTTCTGCTTCTTGGTATGTATAGAAAATATTATATTTTGAGAACCATATGAAGATAAATCCTGAAACGAAGTAGGCACAGCATGCATAAAATGCCCATGTCGCTTCCTGAAAAACCAAACACTTTTCTTCACTTAATTGTTAAATGTTTCATTTTACATAATATTAAGTTTATTTTATATAACATATTTACAAAATTAAAAGATATAAAAAGGACTTTGTTTAAAGTGAATGAATACCACATAATGGCTTTGAAATAATTTTTCTTCACAATTCTGAAGCATTACAAATTTTTGTATAAAGTACAACATTCCTTTATTCATCCAAATGATGCGTAACCATCAAATGCTGTGAGAATCAAAGTTAATGCTGCCAATATGATGTCCAAATGTGGGATCATTTTCTCTCTATCCAGAATTATTTGGTTGCGAACGATTACAACTACTCCCATTGGAATGAATGTGCATACAGTATACATCCACCTTTTTGTCTAAAATTAATAAATTGCTGAAACAATCCGTATGACAATACGTTACTAGCTCACCACAAATGCGCTGATTCTGTTTGAGATCGAACCCATGATGATCAGTATGTAGATGAACACAAAACCCGAAAAGAGAGTTACAAGTAACAACTTTTCATAGGCCCACCCGAGGAATCTGTAGTAGGCAAACAACAGGAAGAATTCAGCTACCATTAAAAACTGAAATCAATCCCATTTTGAGAAACTTCAATTTAATTAGTTTAAGAAAATCTACCAAAATCATCAGCCTAACTAAAGCTTTTGCTCCTGAAGAAGCGATTTCTTTTAACTTTTTACACATTTTTAAAATTGTTTTTTGTCTTAACTTAAAAGTATTAAATAATAGTTAATAAAAGTAAACAAAATAAAAAAACACATGTTTCCAAAATCAAGCATTTTATCACATATGATTTAATTTATATTTCATTTATAAAAATAAAATAAAATTCATCTCGACCAAGACTTTAGATAAAAGGAATAATTAATATGGTCAATTATGACCACTAAATATATATGGAATAATATAAAAATAAACATTTATTGTTGCTACAGTTAAACAATAAAATATGAAAAAATACTATTACTAAATAATTTGTAAACAATAATTAAAAATCATGTGATACTTGAATCCAAGTGGTTTGATTATGTTATTTTTTTCCTATTTGTAATGAGTAAAAGTGAAAAGAAGGGTAGTAGAAAGCAAGAACAACGCGAAACGCCAGCACGTTCAGAAGTAAGCGTCTCACAACACAGCAGCATTCATATTGCTACACCGAAGAGGGAAACTAGCAGTCTGCCAAGGAAGATGATACAGAGTCAGGAAAAGGAAATGCCGTACCGACCGACTAAGAAGGACCTTGAAAATCCTATGACCTACATTTACAGCGAACCGCACCCAAGTAAATTTTTCCACCAATGTTTCATCTACAATAAGTAATGTTAAAAACAATTTTAACTTATAAAAGAAGTTAAATGTTTGAAAAATTTGTTTTCTCAAATATTTCTCTGAATGATCTTGGCTAATCTATTCAATAATTTTTACAGGCAAAATGACTAAATGTTTTGAAGTATTTTTAATTGTTATTTCCTATGCTATTGTGATCCTGACAGTGCCAATTTCTCTTTTCTTTACATTCCGAGTAATTTTTATCTCTTTCAAACAGAAAAGAAATATAAAACTAATACAAATCTTTGCTCATAGATTGTAAACCAATATGAAAAGGCTGTTGTCTTTAGATTAGGACGGCTGAAAAAACATACTCCAGGGCCTGGTCTTTTTTTCTTACTACCCTGCATTGATGTATACATAAACATTGACTTGAGATTAACTGCAATGAATGTACCATCACAAGAGGTTTTAACAAAAGATTCTTGCACTGTTAACGTTACTGCTATAATTTATTACACTATACAAGATCCGATTAAAGTGGTTGCAAGTGTTCAGCAAGCGAAGTAAGATTTCGGTCTTTTATATTATATCTTATTTTTAATTATATGAGTCTTTGCAGGAGGGCGACAATGCTGTTAGCATCGACAGCTCTAAGGAATGTCATGGGCCATAAAGATTTGACAGAGATTTTAAGCGAGCGTAAGGCAATTGCAGTGATAATAGGCCAAATTCTTGAGCACACTGTAACCCATTGGGGAATCAAAGTGGACAGTGTAGACATGTATGAAACACAAAACTCTTTTAAAGATTTAAATAACGAACAAATCATTGCAGAAAAGACGTTAGCCTCCCTGACAGCATGCAGAGGGCGATGGCTTCAGAAGCAGAGGCATATCGGGATGCCAGAGCTAAAGTCATCAATGCAGAGGGTGAGCTGAACTCTGCTGAAAAACTGAGACAAGCGGCTCAGGTCATCTCACGAAACCCTGTAGCACTTCAAGTCAGTTAACACATGTACCACTTTGACTCTTTATTTCTTATTTTATTTTATTATTATTTATTATTATTTCAGCTGAGGTATCTTCAGACTCTGAATACTGTTGCGGCCAACAATAACAACACAATAGCATTTCCATTGCCTATGAAATGGCAAAGACAAATTTTTAAATAAAAATATAAATTCTGATTTTGTTAAAACAGAAATTTTTTTGTTGTACTTTTGATTTTATGTTAACAAAGTAAGTGCTTGTGCTGATCATTGTTTAGATTTGTATTTGATATTTATCTGTTTTTTTAGCAGAACACAAGAACATAAATGTGTTAACTTCTAAAGTTCTATAAGGATAATGATAAAAATGTAAACATTTTCTCCTAAACTTTTCATTTTGGTTTGAGTGAAAAACCACGTTTACTTTGATCTAACAAAAAATATTGATTGAATATAATCTGTGGCTTCTGAACTGCACTCTTTAGGAAATGAATTATTTTTCAACATTTTTTATTGCTGATTTCTTGCATCATTGCGTTTCTGCAGGTGCTGGTAATCTCAAGAACTTTGCTCATTTTATTCTGGCAATAAATCCATTTCAAAATCACTTGCTTTAACATTTTTATGGTTTTGTTTAGCAATGTAGGCAGATTTACCAATTAGACATTAAGTCTGAATTATTTTGTGATGCTATTAAGGCATGTGAAAATATTAAATATACAGACAAGTAAAACATTTCATAAACATTAAATGAAAACAACATTTTTTTATCTCTATATATCAAATAAAATGTTTTATAGCCTTTAAATTAACACAGTGGTTAAACGTGACCAGAAATTTTCCCTTTGTTTTTTCTTTTTCTTTTGGATCTTTGCTTTCAGTTTTTTATAGTGAAATAACAATCCAAGAACGTGATTACTGCCATCAATAGAGAGAGTATGCCATCTACCAGGCCCATTTCATGGTTAGAATGGTGAAATCTAACAATCAATATGACCCCGCAAGCGAAATAGGCACATGTAGCATAGAATGTCCATACGCCAATCTAAAAAAAGTGTATATGATTAAAAAAAGTTTTTAAACTAACTTTTTAAAAAATACATACGAGATCCTTGTCGACTGGTTTTCCTATGATTATACCAAGCACAAGTGCAATGTACAAAACCATGAATCCAGCAAATATGGCGCAAATAAGCAGCCGTTCATATGCTGTAGGGATGTAGGAGTGGAATAATATGAGCAATACATATAGGACAATAGCATTAATCTGAAATAAATAAAAATTAATACAACAACAAAATACAATTCAATAATATTAAAATAGCAAATATTTTTTTAAACAATAAGATGTGGTTAGTGTATAACACATTAAGCTATAGCTTGATCAATTCTAATCATCCTGGTGCCTATTCTTGCCAGTTTTTGTTTGCCAGATGTATTTCAACAATTTACCATCTTCAAAAGTTGGACTTTGTGTTGTTTTGTCAATTGTGTCCATGTATAAGTACTTAAAATTGGAGCAAACATAAAAAAAGATATATGGTGACAGAACAAAGAAAACTGTTGATACTGTTGCACCATACCCAAGGTCTAGCCAGCTAGTGCCTGGGGTCTACGCCCTTAGGTAAGGTCTCGGCATCCAAAGTTCAACAATACAAATTTATATACAATTTATACACAATTATTTACATACAGGTTTACATTTTGTGCAATTGGCTTAATTTTTACACTCTAGCAAGTACACTCTTATAAACACATATTTTTGTTATAAATTCTCCACAGTATTTTGTGAACAAAGTTTCTAGCGATGTAGGCAACTGTCCCCCTGTAATGTTTCTTATGTGAGGCATCCTTTCTTGATTGAAGATCATCCATGTGAATGCCTCCATGTTTGGGGACCCAGACCACATGGGCATTCTGGACTTTCAATTGTTTTAAATCTTGCCAGAAAAGAACTATTCTTTCCGTAGCTTGTCAGTCCCATCGTTGTTTTCAATGTACTTTATTTGTAGTCAGAGTTATAGTTAAAACCAGAATCAGAGTCTTAGGCACAGTTACATTCAGAAACAAATAGAGAGAGTCAGTTTAGTTAGAGTCAGGGTCAGATTAGACATAGACTACAAATGATTGAGGTTGGGTAGGATGTTGATTCATTTTTGTAAATGATGGTTCTACTCATAGAATCCTTTACAAAAAGTGGAAAAAAAGCCAGAGTCTGAGTGAGTCAGAGAAAGAGAAATAGAGAGAGAGTTTGAGTTTGAGTCAGAGGGAGTCCAAGAGTCAGAGTCTGATTCAATTTGGAGAGGAGATGGGTCAGAGTGTTGATGTTTCTATGTTCATCAATGCAGTTCTGTGACCAGAGTACACAACAGCATTCTTTCAGCAGTGAAATCAGTCATCTGAGTACGGTGTCTGGAGTTTGAAGGTAGAGTCATGTCAAGGAGTCCATCATTACAAGAACGGCCTCCAGCAATTCACTGCCACCTAAATCTACGACTCCGTGACAGCATACCTCCTCAGCCTATATACTGAGGTGTGTCACCCCTTAAACTGGAGCATTTATTTAATTAAGCCATTTTTCTTGTATAAGAAAGCTCAAACTCTTTGAGGGAGATATCCCAGGTATACAAAAAAAAGAGATCTGGGCACAACACATCATTGCAAGACAAAAATGACAAAATAACAGTGATGATGGCAAAATTCTGGAAGTGTTTGACAATGAAACCAGAATGAATAATTAGAACTGTGAACAAATTTTCTAACAGGTTTTAAAATTTAATTATTTGTCGCATTTGTCAAGTTTTGGCTTTGCTCTTGTAAAACTGTTTATCCCCTAATTCTGAAAACACAAAAAAATAATAAATGGCTGTATTCTAAGCTGAGACTTTTATTTACTTAAAAATAATAAAATAAAATAAATAGGAATAAACAAAGGCTTTCTAATATATTATTTCAGTGTTTACAAATTAATAAATATTCTGTGTTTCTTGCATTATTTTTATTTTAGTTATCCATTTTAACAAAAAATGTAATTACATTTTATTTTCATGTGTTAATGAGAAAATATCAACCAAATGAATATTTGTTTAAACAATTCGATCCTAGATTTGATAATGTAGGTGAAAAAGCTATAAAAATTATTCGTGAAGTTATAAAAGGCCTACTGAATAGAACCACCTAGAAGCAGTTTAAGATAGAAACATTTCTGGCATACTCACTAACGCAATTAGTTTGATGATTGTGGACTTGCCAAGATCTGCCATTGCCTTCGAGGCACACTTAAACACTGGACACTAAAAACCAAAGAAAAAACTTTTCCTGATCTGAGTCGAATAATTCCAATTCTTGATTTTTATACTAACACAATTATTTGAACATGTGACACTTCAGCTAATACAAATTACAACACATGCATTGCAAGATTGCATTGTAAATGACAAACATATTTTCCAAAAAGTCAAATTTATGACTTTTTTCAGGTTACAACTGCATTTTAATAAGTAATAAATGCAGCGCCCATAATTCCTTCATAAAAAATTAATCCTTATAAATTTAAGAAGTAAACAATCAAAATGATAATATAAAAATACGATTTAAAAAAAATCCACATCTGTTAAATTTTAATTTTAACATTAAAATAAATTTTAATATTTAAATATATAAAAATAAACTGTATACTAGATAAATTCTGTTTTAAATATATTGTTAGTATATACTTATAGTGGGTTTTTCTAAGTAATTTTTATAGAATCATACAACTGTTCACTGATCTAAATTGAGCTTCTTTTTAAATTATCTTGTTTTCAATAGAGAAACTCTACAATTAAAAAAAAAAAAAAAAAAATTGCTAAGGAATCAGAAAAAAATGTAATCATTTTAAAAAATGTATTATTTACAAACTCAAAAAAAAAAGCTGTACATATTTAGTCCAGGGAATCAACAAGATTGTTTCCATCAAGATAATTAGTGTAGGATTTGTTGAGAAATAAGCGAATAAACAATTCTCCTGGCTTCAATTGTTTTGCAAGAACCATGCATCCAGGCCGACCACAAGACCCTGGACGATGGATACAGCTCCAGTCGCAACACCCAAAAAGCCTTCTGTACTCGAGTTATCACTGTACATGATTATACAAAGCACACCGGCTCCTATATATGCAGCAAAGCCGTACAATGCCCAGACGCTGTTCTAAAATTTAAGAACAAACATCAAATATAGTATTTTAAAAAAAAAATTGTTACTTACCAGGTCCTTGTCTACTTCTCGGCCTGTAAAGACACCAATCACAAGCGCAATATAAAGAACCAAAAATCCAGCGAAGACTGCACAGATGAGAAGCCTCTCATAAGGTGTCTGAATAGAAGCGTGAAATCCAATGAGCAGTCCATAACAAACACTAGCAAGAATCTACAAAAATAATTATTTAAAAATTACAAGACAAACTACTCTTACACACTATGAATAAACACGATGTAATAAAATTAATAGACTAACTTGTTTCTCTAAGTTCAGTACATGCTTAATTTTATTTAAAAAAGTTCAAAGCCCACATACACGGTACGGAGATACTTACCAATGCCACAATCTTGACGATCGTTGTCTTTTTATTTAAATCTGTCATACTTCACCCTTTTGAGTGAAAAAAAGCTTTATTTTAAACCAGTGCTGGTTAGTTTTGTAAATAATTCACATATGGTAGGTTTTTGAATTTTTTTTTTTTGAATTTTCTTAAATCATATGCAATGAAGTCTGATATTGAAAAGACAAAAATCTCTAATACTTTTTAACTTTATGATGTAGCATAGAAGGATTGAAACATGAGTTTTTTATTTTAAAAAATAAGAAAAAGGACTAATGTAAAATTTAAATTTTTTTCCATCTTTCACTGAAAAATAGTCTAAAATATGTTTGCTTTCTTGTTGCTTCAAAGTCATTAAGGATAAATTTAACTTATATAAATAATAAATTGTTAATATAATTGGAAAACCTGTCATTTTTATGCTTTCTTTAATACAAATATCTTAAGGAAAATGGCTGTTGTTTAATAATTATTATTAAAAGTTTGCGCTAGTTTTCCTTAAAAAAAAAAAAAAATCATTCCAGAGGAACTTAAATAATTACAAATTATATATTTAAAAGAAAAGTTTAACTGATTTTACTTCTTTTTTTAAATAAACGAGGGCAAACTTCATCTTTTGGTGCTCTGATGCAACTTTGAAGTTTGAGGCCACATTAGAATCACGTGGCAACGTTATCACCGTCCATTCGCCGCTGACAGTCTGACACCCCACCACTCCAGGTCATAAATAAAGCAAAATTTGATAAGTGAAATTTCAATTTTAAAATTCTCACATTGACAAAACATTAAACAATGATAATACTGTACGGGAGCGAGACTGGGACGGCGCAGGACGTTGCAGAAAGGATCTGGCGCGAGTCAAAACTGTAAGTTGTCATTTTCATAACTAAGGCGGAAAACGGACATTAACCAAACTTACAGGGGTTGCTTCTTTAAAGTAAAAAAAAAGTATAAGCAGCTTTAAGTTCTTAAGACAAAGTTCTGCTAGTCTGGAGTACAAGAGGGCAGCCAGAACAACACAACAATTTGAATTTTTGTTGTTTTTAATATGAACATTGTTATACTGACTACTCAAAACATTGTAAAAAGCATTTTTTTTCTAAAACAGCTTGTAGAGCTTCTTTGTTTTGCTTAAGACAATCAGGTACAGCAGAAAGTCAAGCGGTCTTCTAGTCTGACACATGGATAAAGTTTATGTTTGTAAATCCCAGGCCCTGAAGATGATCTCAATAAAGATCGAAACGTTGGCACGATAACGAAAATGTTTTTCTGAAACCTACATCACCCCAGTCTGCATCTCACGATTTCTGAATAATTATCGATTAACGGTCACTAATCACCACACATAAAGTTTATTGTTAATTGATATTCACATGATAGTAGTAGGATTTTAAGGCCAGTAGGATTAGATTAAGAGTTGAATAGCGCCCAGTCTACTTCCTTGTATTATGTAAATACTTCTGGGTAATGTTACCCTCAGTATAAGTTGAAGCGGAAAGTTGCGCCGGCATTCTTCTCGTGTCTAGCCTCACAGGCTACCCAAACGAATCATTGAGCAACTATAATGTTAACATACTTAATCGTATTGGACGTGCAGTTGAAAGTTTAGTTTGATGATGCTCTTCTAGTATATCGGAATGTATAGTACAACTGGGTAATATTTCAACATACAGGATGAACAGTTGAAGATGAAAACTTAGATGAAAATGTTTCCCTAGTTCCACAGGCTACCGAATTCAACTGAGCAGAACATTTTAGACAGCTTAACATGTTCTTTATAATCATAAATTCATTGCTTTCCTCCCTATATGCTTAAAATGATAAAATAATTGTTAAAGGAACAATTTTTATGTCTAGTACAGCTGAGTAATATTTGAACATATACGATGAACAGTCGAAGATGAAAAATTTAGGTGATGTTTCCCTAGTTCCACAGGTTACCAAGATCATCTGATCAAAATATTTTGAACGGTTTGTCTTGTACTTTTTCTTCCCTACATGCTAAAAATGATAAGACTATTGTAAAAGGGCCAATTTTTATTTCCAGTACAACACTTTATAATGGGCAATACACTTAAAGACAAAAATCAGACACATGTTTTCATGTATTTTCCTTAATAGCTAGGCATAAATAATGATGATTTTTTTAAAAGGAGCAATGTTTATGTCTAGTACAACTAGGTAAAATTTCATCATCCAGGATGAAAATTGAATCTGAAAGTTAAGCAGACAATGTTCTCATGGTCTCTAGTTTCACAAGCTACTGAAACCAAATCATTATTGAGCAGTTTGACTAATTATTATTATTATAGGAGTTGTGATATCACTATTGCTCATTTATGCTTTGTTATATTACATAGTACAAGAACATTAGATAATATCTCATCACACAGGATGAGCAGTTGATGCTGAAAGTTTAGTTGATGATGTTCTTCCGGTATATCAGAACGTCCAGTACAACTGCGTAATATTTCATCATACAAGAAGCTCAGTTAAATCTGAAAGTTGAGTTGGCAACGTTCCACAGGCTACCAAGGTCAACTGATCAAAATATTTTGAACAGTTTTTCTGGTACTTTTTCATCCCTACATTCTCAAGGCCGAAGACCGAAACGAATGTGAAAAACTTATTTAGGAGGTCCAGGTCCTGCTCTAAGGACTGTCGCACCGAGTAAGTAAGTAAGGGGTTACTGTTACCCTTTTGTTTATACACAAAAAAGGCTAAAATAGCGGTTTGTTGTTGGGAATGGAGCTGAGGTGACAATAAGGCCACGAGGGGAAGGATTCGAGAGGAGGAGAGGAGAAAGACGAGTTTGGTCAGGTCGGTGTGGGGACATGGACAGAATCAATCTCACTGGAAATTTTCCTCGGGAAAAGAAAAAAATACGTCATCTGCAGCTAAGTGTGTGTGTAGTGGTGGTCAGGCCTGGCTTGAAATCCTCGGGCTTCAACATAGATCGATATCGGTATAGGAATAAAGAAACTGTGGTAGAATGTGTATACGCACTGTTGTTATCAATCCGAGCTAATTAAACTATTTTATGTTTTAGTTATAAGAGGTACCTTTTCTTTTGATTGTTAATATTTTTTTAAAGTAAGGACATTAGTATTAAGTTCATTTCTTTTAGTTTATCGTTCTGTTCACTGTAGAAATATGGAGTTTTTTTTTGTGTAAATAAATTGTATGAAGGGATCTGTTAGTAGTCTATTTTACCATTATTATTAGTGCTATGTATTTTGAATAATTTTTAAGGACTTGCGCTACCTCAGAACGAACGGAAGGGTATTGACCAGCAGTCCACGGTAGCAGGGTGGATAGGGGTGCTATCTCTCAATTGTCCAGGATCTAATTCAATTTGGGGCCATATATTTTTTCCTTTGCCCTCTCTTTCTCTCTTTTTTTCCCTTCCCTTTTTGTTTCTTTATAAAAGAAATCTATCTTCATAAAAGAAAAATTTAGTTCCCTCACTCTTTCTTCGCCTGTTTCTTTGTCTATATTTTTTTCATATAATTATTCCCCTTTCCTCCCTCAAACAAGCTCCTACCCGTCCGAACCGCATTACATTATTATTAATTTTGTTGCTTCCTCCTTTGTTTCTCTTCGATTACAAAAGGAGGACGCCTTGCGCCCAACATTTATTCCTTTCGTTTACATTTTTTTCTTATCCATTAACCCACCCCCTTTGCCACTGACTGGCTGGTCACCTAAGTGAGGTTTCGACTGTAACATTACCACAATGAATTGGCCAGCATGTTCTTCTATCATGAATTCTACAGAACACTTATAGGACACCTCCAAAAATTGTTGAACAGCTTCAAACCTCTCTTGTTGAAGAATGGGATTCTGTTTCACAAGACGAAATCCAATCGCTGTTGTGTAACACTTTTTAATAGAACAATAAAAATGCATATAGTTTGAAATAAATAACAAACTACGATTGTCCAATTCTTTCTTTGCGTGTATTTCAACATACAGGATGAACACACATGAACAGTTGAAGCTAAAAGTTGAGCTGACAATGTTCTTTCGTCGTAACCAACCTTAGAGCATTTTGAACAGCTTACCGTATTCTTTATAATGTGTGGTGTTTCATGACCGTTAGTCAATGTAGGCTGAGAGTAAGAAATTGTCGGTCCGTAAAAATGAACGCATGAAGGGTTGTTGATAGCTCAGGGTTTCCTTATTTTTAAATTCCACCTACGTAAACTGATACTTGCAAACACCAAGGTGTTCTACTTTTATTTATCACATTTTAGCCGGCGTCACACAGGGAAGGACGTTTGCTTCCTTACTTTTACCCTTTTTTTCTTCACAGCTGATCTCCCATTGAGGCAGCAATGTCCCCAGGAATGCAATGATCCCAGGATGCAGCAGGTGTGTTGTACGTTTAAATGTAAGTCCTATGTGTGGTGAGTTGTGACCATTAGTCGATAATTATTCAGAAATCGTGATGTGCAGTCTGGTGTGACATAGGTTTTAGAAAAACATTTTCTTTATCATGCCAACGTTTCTATCTTTATTGAGATCATCTTCAGGGCTCAAAGTGTTTGTTTTCTGCGTAATTGTGCCATTATTATGTGTCGTGTTGTCCAATTTACAATTAGTAAATTAAAAAGTACAGTACAATTTTAATTGTAGTGGTAATGAAATAAAGCACCAAAACTGAAATGCCTTGATGCAACCTCTCAATAATAAGCCAGAAACTGTTAAAATTTATAAATAACACTATGTTTATTTGTAAAAATGAGCTATAGTATAAAATATTTTTTATCTATTGATTTATTAATTATTATTCAAAATTATTTATAGATTGGGGATTGATGCGAGCATTAAAGCGATGGATGATTACACAATAAGCAATCTTATATATGAGAAAATAGCGATATTCGTTGTGTCAACAACAGGTCAGGGAGACACGCCTTTCAACATGAAAAAATCTTGGAGATTCCTTTTGAGAAAAAACTTACCCAGCAATTCTTTATTAAATTTGAGGTGAATGATTGCATCTAGATAAAATAAAACTTGTTAAATTACAAGTTACAATTACAATTAACAGGTTTGGGGTTCTGGGTCTTGGTGACTCGTCTTTCGTTTACTTTAACGTTGTCGCAAAGAGACTCGCAAAGCGCTTGAAGGGCTTGTCGGCCAAGCCGCTTTGTCCGATCGGGCTGGCTGATGACCAGCACGATCTGGGCCAGGACGCAGTGCTCGTCCCGTGGATCAACAACCTCTGGGAAGTACTCACATCAGATGGTTACCAGAATAATATCAGCAGGATGACCAGACTTAGCAGCTCACCTGATTTAATACTGAGGTGAGTATAAATGAATGTATAAATGCTGTATTCTTCTTTTTAAACTATACATAACATGAGGGCATTGGTGGTCACGATTTAGGTGTTCCAAATCTAGCTTCCCTGCATCAAACTTGACGTATTTAAAAAAGGGCTTTGTTTTAAACACCTGCACCCCAAGACTTCCACAGGATATCACAAGAAAACTATACTTGTGTAAAAAAGGTGCTGCTAGGCTCAACAGTTAAGGCAATAAATTCAAACATTATGTACTTATAATTGGGCACTTTCAATGGATAAATGGTGATATGATCACATACCTTTAAAACAAAAATAAATAAATATTTTACTTTGATAAAGCTGATTTATCAAAATGTAAAGTATAACTGAGTATCTCAACGTCAAGAGCAATTTTATCCTGAGTCCTCCAAGGAGATGTTTTGAGCCTTATTCTATTTATCTTTATTACATCCTCGTCCAGTCCACCCACTATTTGACTATATAAAAGGAATTTGATAAAAAGCTTTATGTGTTACTAAAGAATGATCGAAAGTGAGTTTCAATCTTGTCAATTGTCTAATCTGGCTTGTCCTTATAATCTAAATCAAATTTAAATAACTCCTTATAATAATTATCTAGATCCACAAAGTGAAAGACACTTTCCTACAGATTCACCATAATTTGTTGCCTGCACCTTTTGAATATTAGGGGTTGGGGTGGCTGTATGGTTGGGATTGTATTTGCCACACTAGTGATTCTTAGTTTAAAAAGAAAAAGAAAGAAATTTTAATTTAGATTAATATAAAAATTATTGTAAAGTGGTTTGATCTCTTGTTCAGGACGCCCAAAGGTAGTTGGACGTCAAGTCCTCCTGTAAAATATTCTAAAGATGAGTGATAGAAAAAAACGAGTGAAAATAGATGAATCAGGATGACCTTAGATGATCAAGTTACAGGTTAATTATCCCATAGACAAGACCACAATACTTAACCATCAATATCGTATTGGGTGAGATTGACCACAGGTGTAAATAAAATGCAGACCATATAAAGTAGACTGTAGTATTCACATACCTTGGTATATAGGCATTGTGACCAAATTTTGTCTTAAAAAGCCCCATTTTACACAGAAGTAAACAAACAGATCACAGTTTGAAAAGAATGAAAAAGTATTCGTTGGACAATTTATCTAATATAAAAATGCATATTTATTATTATTTAGTGTTAAGTATTATTGAAAATACACGAAAGTAAATTTTGTTTTTAAATTTGATGCAGGTGGAATGCAGAAATATGTCAAGAAATGGAAAGCAACCCTATTAAAATCAATTTCGGCTCTGGTGGTAAAAAATACCAGGTCCAACTTATTTCAAACGAACGTACTACTCCGAAAGAGCACTTCCAAGTGAGTTTACTTTTCAGTCATTAATAATTTATATTTTAGAGAAATGTTTGTGTTTAGGATGTGCGGCTGATCAAATTCAAATCTTTAGAGCCCAATTTGGAATACTATCCTGGAGATGTGGCTATTGTCATGCCTGAAAACTCGGTGGAAAACGTTGAAAAATTCCTATCACTTTTATCTAGCCCGAATAGGTCTAGCTTTGTCACAAATACGAATTAAAAATATGTATATATATAAATATTGAAATTTCAGAGAAGAAAAACTCTTTGGTGATACAGTCATCAAACTTGAAAATGTCTACTCAGAAATGCCGGTTCCTGAAGCCTTACAACATCCGTTCACACTTTATGAATGTACAAAAAAGTTCTGGGATTTGAACGTAGGTTTTTTAAAATATTTTATACATTTTGTTTAAAATAGTTTGTTTTTTAAATTTGTTTAAAGTGCAGTCCAAGGAGGTATATGTTCCAAGTGATGGCCCAAGTAACAGACAATGAATTAGAAAGGGATAAGCTTTTGGAGCTTAGTTCGACTGAAGGGCAAGAGGAACTTTTCAACTATTGCTACCGACCCAGAAGAACTGTACTAGAGGTATTTTATTCTTAAAAAAATATTTAAATGTTTATGTTTACTGGTCTAATTGACCAAATTAATTCTTTCAATTAATAATTCTTTTTATCTAAGGTCTTAATTGAGTTGAAAAAGTTAGCGTCATGAGTGGGATTCGAACCCACGACCTTCGGCTCAATACACTGCTGCTCTAACTCTTGAGCTATCGCGAGCAGTGGCGCTTTTTTTAATACTAACTTTCCCAACCCAACCAAGACCTTACATAAAAAGAATAATTAATTGAAAAAATTAATTATTTAGTTTCAATTGTTTTTTTAATTTTAGGTTTTACGTGATTTCCCACATGTCATGAAGGACATAAGTTTAAAACATTTGTTTGAAATGCTTCAGCCGATTCGTCCAAGACATTTTTCAATAGCCTCGTCCCCAATTGTAAGTGGTTGGTGATAATCACCGATGACAGTAAAATCACAAATATTGCCGAGATTATAAGCAAACAAATTCAAGGAATATTTTTATAGGCTGACAACGATCTTCAGCTTTTGGTAGCGGTGGTTCGATATAAAACAAAATTAGTCGCCCCACGTGTCGGACTGTGCTCAACCTGGCTCTCATCGCTGTACAAAGGTTATCAAATGGAAATTGCGATTCGTAAAGGTTCGTTGGCATTTCCAGTCGATAGTGACACTCCAGTCGTAATGGTCGGCCCAGGTACGGGAATCGCTCCATTCCGAAGCTTCATCCTCACGGATCTGGCTCTCTTGAAGAACTTGCAGAAAAACCAACGCGAGCTGATTTTGTTCTTTGGATGCCGAAACATGAAAGCAGATTTTCACTTTGAAAATGATCTCTCTCGGCCTGAGATAACCCTTTTTACGGCATTTTCAAGAGATCAGCCACATAAAATGTATTATCATTTCTTATTAAAAAAAAAAAGTTTTAACTAAACATTTTTTTTTACAGTTATGTCCAACATTTATTAGAAAGAAATTCTAATGTTATATACAATGCTATTTATAAAAACAATGGCTACTTTTTTGTCGCAGGAAGTGCCAACAACATGCCTCAAGCTGTGCGAGCTTCTTTAATAAAGTAAGAAATATAATAATTTAACAATATAAAACAAATTAATTATTTTATTCTCTCTCAGGTGTCTTAAAAAGGAGAGTGGGCTCAGTAAGCAAGAGATCGAAAAATATATCTCTGAGATGGAGATGAGTAAAAGATTCCAGAGCGAAACTTGGAGCTAATGTGTTCAAAAGCAATTAACTGTCTGTGATAATTACTACCATTGTGCAACAAAAATTTGTAATAGTCTGTAAAAATTATTAAACTTTTCAAAGAATTCTTCATTCTTGTAATTTTTTACAGCTTTCTTCTCTAACAAAACAGAAAAATTCACTAGTTTTCGTTGTCCGTTTGACCAATTAATACCATTCAATCAAATATCGAGTCAAATAGATTACATAACATTTGAAAAATGGCGAAAAGGAGGGAAAATTCATCAAAAGGTGGGGTTGAGATGGGAAGTTGGGGTCCAGGTGGATCAAAGTCACGATGGATCAAGTGGTAGAGCAGTGGCGTATCTAGCTGAAACCCGCTCGTGACGCTGACTTTTTTTTATCTCAATTAAAACCCTTAATTAACTAAAATAGAAAAAGTTTCAAGTAGAGAACTTCATCTTCAGAATAAATATATTCTACACATCTTTCAATGTAAGCAAACTTCCTACTGAAAAAAAGTGTTTTTATTGCATATTAATCACTATTTAGATCCTAATAATTTATATACATTATTTGATTAAAATATTTTTCCTGAAAAAAAGTCATACAATTAACTTTGCAACAAGTCTATATTATTAGCTTTATTTGTAGCTTCGTGAAGGCATGGAGTGAAAGTGATTGTTCATCTCCTTGAATTTATGGGATCATTCTTCCCCAAAATTAGAAAAATAGTAATTTTAACATTAGGGGTTGGGAAAAAAAGTTTTTGTTTTCAAAAGCAATCTTATAATATGCCGGGGCTGTTGCCGACCTTCTACCTAGCGACATTGATGGAACTCATCCAGTGGGGTCGGATGCCTTGATGAGAGCTAAGGTGGAGAGGACCATGTGGACAGGATTAAGCAAGGCATGTGAGAGATGAGAGAGGAGGCAAACAATTTTTTTTTGCTGTGTAAAACTGTCATTTCCCATTCCAGAACATCGATCTACATCTGAATAGGAGCTAGAACGGATGAGACAAGGTTCTCTGGTGAGGTCCTTCTCTGCTTCCAGGGGTGGTTTGTGGGCCTGAGAGCACTTTCTGGGCAATGTTGAGCCTCTCATTGTTGGTGGGATGTGGGTGTAGCCCACATACACACATCCCACTTTGAGATCGCTAAAAGGCTTTACAATTAAAGTATAAATGCAGTAACTAGAGCAGTCTCGTGACGACGGACCTGGTGTGGAGGGGTTGGGGTCAGTAAGGATAAAAAGTGAACAGTCACTTATAATCTGAGTTCTTGGCATTCAAGTGCATTTTTTTAATTAATTTATTTTTATTTTATAGTATTTTTATTTTGCCTCTACTTCTCCGAAGAGGTTCACTATTTTCCCCAGATAAAATAGAGTGGCGCTCAATTAACATGGTGGTTTCCCGAGAATTTATTACTTGAAAGCTAACCAAGTTTGATAAAAAATTATGCTGAGGAATAAAAAAAAGAATTATTGATAAAAATAATAATTTATTATTTAATTATAAATAAAACATCTTCTTTAACTCTAGTAAACAGGCCCATCATCAACATCGTCATCTTCGTCTAGGTAGCCTTCACCATTATCAAAATAGTTTTGATTGTAATCCGTTCCACCGTCCATCTCATTGTCTGAGTCTTCTAATTCTTCGTCTTCTTGTAAATTCTCTTCGTTTTCCTCTTGTTCTGGCTTCTCGATTTTAACTACACCTTCTGCCTTTTCTAGTTGAGCCAATCTGTAAAAACAAAAATTGTTTAAAATATAAAAGAGTTTAGTTTAACAATACTTACATTTCTTCTATGTTCGTTTGCTTGGCGGATGTAGCAGCTTGGATCATGCGTTTCTTATACTGTGCAGGTCTGAGTTCCATTGGAAATCTCTCCCATTGGTAATCCAACTGAATCGACTTCTGATTCTTCGCAGACACACCTGTGTATTTACGCTTTGAAGCTGCACCTACCTCCTTCTCACCGCATTCAACCTTCAATCTTGAGTAAAAAGACAAATAGTCATTTTTATATTTCAAACGCTGCATGTGCGCCAATGAAGGTAAAAGCGGAGTCGGGTGAAACTCAAGGGGTGGGTATGTCGGCGGCGGTTGAAGAACAGGGCCGGGCAGTTGCTCTCCTGGCGAGATACCGAGCGACTCGACGTTAAAAGAAAGTGCAGCTCTTCCTCTTCCCCTTCCTGCCATTTCATAGACCTTAACTTGTACACTTCAACCTCTCAGGCTCTTTTTTAATATTAACAGATTCTTGCTCCTCTGTAAATTTCTCCTAGCAAACAAAAATACCCTGTATAAGCAATTATTACTTTATTTGATATTAGTTATCACTAAATCAAAAATAATTTCAAAGAATTAATGTTTTTAATTGAGATGAAAAAAGTCAATGGCACGAGTGGGATTCGAACCCACGATCTTCGGCTTGATACGCCACTGCTCTACCACTTAAGCTATCGTGACCTCAATCCACTCGGACACCAACTTCCTATCTCAACCCTACCTTTTGAGTTTTCCCTTTTTTTTGCCATTTTTGGTAACATAATTGGTCAAGCGGACCACGAAATTAGTGAATTTAATAATTTCAAAGGTTTGTTTTGTGAATCTTACAGTCCTTGACAATGTAATGTGGCAAATGTAAATTACAAAAGCTGAAATTACAGCGAATTACGAAAAGTTGTATAAACAACTCTGCACCTGTGAATATATATGTACATACATGTGCAGATTTGTGTTTCTAATTTATATAAATCACCCTACAAACCATCCTTAATTTATATAAATCCAAAATCCTATCCAATTCAGTCAAGCATTTTTTTTTTTACATTTCTTAATATAATTCTTGCATCACTGGGGACTACTAATTTCTGTTTTGTATTGAAGGAAAAAAAATCCAAACTGCTATTTTAGAAATAAAAGTAAAGACCAGTAAACCAAAGGATTTAGAGAACAATAGGTCAACAGCAGCCACAGTACAATGACAGAATGTAATCAGAGGACACCCAATTTTGGGAACTGTTGAATACATATCCACGATATAAATTTCTATCAGTATGTAAACAATCAAACTGATTTTCCATCTGGCGCTCGACATATATTTCCAGAGAAAAGTAGATGTAAACGCACCTTTAGGTGCGGTGCCCAGTGGAACAATGTGATCGTGATGCAACTTGAAGCGATCTTTAATCACCTTGAATAAACATTCGGTGCAACACTCTCGTACCCATGGAGCAATGTGCAAGCAATACGATATGTTAGATACCATAGAACCTTTCTACATTAAACTATTATGTATGCTGATGATGTGGTATTATTATTTGATGTTAAAAAAATGATCGAAGATTTAGAAATGTATTGTGACTATTAGAAACTTAAAATGAATACTGCTAAATCAAAAATTATAATATTTAAAATCAATAAATGTAATTTACGACCAAACCAAAGATGGAAATTTAAAAATTTTAGAAATAGTTGAAACATAAATATTTGGGGGTCTCATTGACATTTAAATTTCATGATAAATTTGATGGTACAAATAAATCTAGCCAAATTAGGCTTTAATAGAACTTGGCATGTTATGCAAATTTGGGAATATAGAGAATATGCAGATTTAGAAAAACGTCAACGGTTCTCTGTGAACACAATGTTACCCCTTACCAACAATACGTCTAATTGATTATGCCCTAAAGGTTGTGGGTTCGAATCCTGCTTGTGACACTAACTTTTTCATCTGAATTAAGACCTTAGATAAAAAGAATAATCAATTTAAATAAGTAATACAGCCATTTATGACCACTAAACATACATGTATTAATGTAATAAGTAAAGAAGTAATCACTTCACTAACAGATCCCTGTGGCCACTTCTTAAGTCACTGAGAATAGAATCCTGATTACACATTTGAAAAATGGCAAAAAGAGTTAAAATTTGAAAGGTTGTAGGCTGAGATGAGGAGTTGGTGTCTGAGTGGATCTAAGTCATGGTAGCTCAAGTGGTAGATGTAGATGTGTCACATTTCAATTGATTTCAAAGTTACAATGTTATGATTTAGATTTCATGATTAGGCCTAGAGTAAAAAAATAAAAGAGAATAGGGAAGAGACAGTCGAGTCGGAAAGGTGAACAAGATTCCGTGTAGATGAGAGACAAGAGAAGTGTGCGATCCTCAAAAGTACTCCCTAAAATAGAGCGCTTCGGTCCACTGCGAATTGACTGGAAATAGTGAGTACATATCCACCCTTGTTCTAAATGGTCTGGCAGACGCTTTGTAGGAAATTACTGTTTATTTAAATTTATAAAAATTTTCAATTGTTTGTTTAAAATTTAAAAGGAAATGTATTGGTTTTAATTATTATTTTCTTGTGTGTTTAATAAATTGTTTTTAAACTTTAATTAAATTTTATTTTAAAAAGGCACCTGATCAGCTGTATTCAGGTTCGATCAAAACCTCTGGGGCTCTGTTTCTCATAAAAAGGATTCAGAGTTGGGCCCGTCTTGTTGAATCGAGAACAGTTCGTGACAGATTTATTAGTCAGGGTGTAATATACTGCGCCCTTTAAGAGCTATTGTATTCCCCATTCTGTGCCTTTAGCACACCGGTGAGTCCTACTTCATCTAGGAACTTGACTAGTAGGCCTGGTTTCAGTGGTTGAATTTCTTCAACGGTTAAATTATACATCCCAAAACACTTCCTTCTGCGGGCAAGCACCACAATTTGTTAGTAGGTGTGTTGGTGTCTCCTCTTTGCAGAATCTGCATATGCCATCTTGGATTACCAATCTTTAAATGTCCATTTAGTTTGCTGTTAGGATTCACAGTTTTTTCCTTCTTCTTTTGATACATTCTGTCACTTGTTTCCTTCTGAAATTTGTTAAGAGGTTCTTGGATTCTTTGTGTCCAATGAGTGAATTCCATTGTTCCATCATTTTCTTTTTATCCTTCTGTCTGAGATACAGGGCTCAGGTCCTATCAGCGGTATAGCAGCCCCTTTCCTTACAAAGGTGTCCACTTTCTCGTTGCCTTCTACACCCATGTGTCCTGGGACCTAGCAGCTGACTTTGTTCTGCGTACCTAATATGTCTAATTTGGTTTTTCAGTTCAACACCATCTTTGAGCTTAGTGCTTTGATGGCTGCTTGGCTATCTGACATGATAACTATGTTATTGCTTTTATTCCCTTAAGTCGAGTTGAATTGAGTTCAATGACAATTGCTTAGAAGATATGGTGTATTTTAACATGGGTTCAGAGTATTTGGCTCCAGGACCGAATATGTACCTTCTTTTGTTCTAGATCCATCTGCGTACCAAAAGATGGGGCTGTTCTTAGGAGGTGTTTTCCTCTCGTACCCATTCTTTTTTGGTACCTAGGTTTATTTGGAAATTTTGATTAAATTTCAAACATACTGTTCATGTTGTCTCTCAGAGCCATAAGTATCAGACGATCGATTATTATTTTGTCGCTATCTCTTCATTTTAGTTTTATTCCTACTGGAGGTTTCTCTTTACTGATACTAATAATAGTTTTCTGTGCTATCTTCATTATCATGTGGTGTTGGGGGATTAATACCAGTATCTTTACCGTACCAACTGTGAGACATGTTCTCATTGCTCCCGTTGTTCGTTATACAGAATGCACGGAAGTCTCTGCATTTTTGTGAGTTCTTTTCTTTTTGTTACTTGTTCTGCTTTATCGACCCATAGCTGGTTAGAGCAGTGGCATATTGAGCCGAAGGTCGTAGGTTTGTATCGTGACACTAGCTTTTTTCACCTCAACCAAAACCTTAGGTAAACAGTATAATTAATTAAATTAAAATGAATACGGTCAATTATGACTATTATATACATATATGAATTAGTAAATATTTATGTTTAGGATTTAAAAAAAAAGTTGACTTACGATATCGTATATGACTTTTATGATCAGGGAGCAGCTCGGACACGTTGCGACTTCTTCTCCGGCGAGCAGTTCATCCTGAAAGTGAGTACCACCGTTGTAAATGGTGTCTAGTGGTATATCAATTCGCCTTCAGTGTACCTTGGTTATCTGGAACCTATCACCGCATGGACAAGGATAATAGTAGATTTCTTCCTCTTCGTCGTATTCGAAATCTTCGATTTCTATTTCGTCGTGGAAAACGGACATCACAACACGGCACGAATGTCTAGTCTTCGGACATCCTCGCACATGGTGTAACGGAGGAGGTTTCAAAGTGGTTTACCTACCAAGTACCAAGACAGTCTGTGGTGTTCCAACTTTTCCCTTGACCCTTTAATACTACTTCCTTCCAAAAAATTCCATTCCAAACCAATTGTAAGGCACACGTAAATAAAATATACACAATTAAAAGAAAAAATGTATAAATCATTTTATTTACATACATCGTAAAAATCTTTAAATGAGCCAAATCTAAGATATTAATTTTTTTGTAATTCTTATTTTACATTAGATATATCGCATTTGCAGCTCCATTAATCGTTTGAGTTAAAAAAAGAACTAGTATCTAAATTCTAGTTATTTTTTGAAAAAGAAATTTGCTTTATGACTTACAGGGTAGGTAAAGTATATAAGGGACGAGCTTGGTAGGAGGTAACAATTAAGAAACCTCCCTATGCCCGAGTTATAACAATTAAAACATGACAACTTTGTTGAAAGTAAGTACGCTGTTTAGCCGATCTTTGTTGAAAATTTATTTATTTTCTTATATTTACAGTTTGCCAAGAGCTTGGGCAAATTTGATCATCTAATAAAAAATGTTACTTTAGGCTCAAGAGCCTTCTCGACTGAAGTTCAGACACAGGTGAAAATATAAACTGTACTGGTATTTTTTATGATTTAATATAAATAATGATATATGCAGAATGAAGAACCTGATGCTTTGTACAAGACAGTCGAGCTCGAGATGAGGGGATTGGACCCCGCAGTGCTCAAAAGTTATTCGAAGTTTCTGACCGAATCTGCCACCCATTTGGGCATAGAACTTGGAAAACAGTAAGTTCGGTGTAAAATTACGCTTTTTCTTGTATTTGAAATGTTTCAAAATCTGTATAGGTGGACGCCGAGAAAGGCGAACCATGAAAGGCTGACGCTTCTCAGATCGATTCACGTCAACAAGAAATGCCGTGTGCAGTACGAAGTAAGGACGTATTTCACTTTCCTCCAGCTCCACAAGATGACCGGCTCGACCTGCGACACATACCTCGAATACGTCCAGAGGAACTTGCCTGAAGGAGTTGCGATGAAAGTGTCAAAGGTGGTTTTAAAATTGAGCTGTAGCTTATTTATGCCTGCATTCTGATGTGTGTTGCATTATTTAAATTTGTTTTAGGTCGCAATTGAACCCAAACCTGCCCACTTAACACCAATGGAAAAATAATCGCAATTTTGCTAATTAATTGATAGTCTAAAATGTAAATAAAATGTTTTTACTTATAGTTCCTAAATTGTTTCTTTTTTTTCAACGTTTCTCCTGAAAATCTGATGTTTGTTCACATTGAAACTTGAGAGTGATTTCTGTGCGTAGTGTGCAGGTTAATAAACTTGTAATTTGTCATTACTAGAGCATAGATTTTTTAGAATGATAAATAAATATAATAATAAAAAATAATAAAAATTCTTAAATATGCCATATAATACGCACTAATAAGCCCTCAAATATATAAATTAAAAATAACAGCTTAAATGTAGTCTTGCATCAAATTTGCACCTGGGAGTGTGAAATTGAGATTCCAGCCAGCATTGAACGTGTTAAAAGCCATGTAACAACAATAATAGGTCTAAGTTAATAATAATTTAAAAAAAAAAAAATACAGACAAGTTAATTCTGAGTTTGAATTTACTTTGAATTAAAACTCAGAACAAAGATTTTAATTTGACCTATATTTTTACAAAATAATTTAATACATTTTGTTTGTTTTAAGTTTATTTTCAGACCAATTTTAATTTGACCTATGTTTTAATAAAATAAACCTTACCTTATTCACCTCTGCTTCTTATGTAATAGGAAAGAAAATGAGGACTTTTTGTGTCATTGTCCAAAATTAAGAGCAACAGGAATTTTTTTTTTAAAGCCGTAGTTAATCTTTTAAATGAAAACCCATTGGCTAAATTTAATAAATTACGTAAAGGAAGCTTCACTTTACAGGGATTTTTTAGTTGAAAATGTTAATTACAAATCAAGTAATGTATTTTCTTTTGTTTTAGTTTGTATTTTTAGCAGAAGAATTTTACTTTCTATTTTTATACTAGTTAAAGCTAAATGTTTGGTCATTATAATTATTTTCGTGATGTATTCAATTTTTCTTTTCATAAATGAATGTGAAATCTTGACAGACGGCCTCGGCTATTGTAATTTTTTTCTTTTTTATACTTTTTTTAATCATTACTTTTGTATTTACTCATAATATTGTAAATAAAAGTATATCTTAACAGAATGATCATTTAATAGAATTTGTTTTAAGTTTGTGTTTTCAAACCAATTAAAAAAAAAAAAAAAAAATAGTTTCTAGCTTTTGTGGGAAGGAAAAAGAGAACCGTTTGTCCAACAATATTTTATTATCTAATGTAACATAATTATTCACCATTTGATGTACAAACTAAGTATTTAAACAATTTTCAAAAAAACAGAAATAAGTTTCTACTATGTTTTCATTGTTGGCTTCTGGGAGGCAAATTTCTCCAGTTTTGATTTTCCTGATTAACTCTGATTTTTTAAGAGCCAGTTCCTTCCCTTGAACAGGGTTTTTTAAATTTTTAAGCACCTTGCTGACAATTTTTCTAAGAGCTAAGTCAGCATAGTGAATTTTATTTTGTGGCTGGGGCTGGCTGATGGTTTTTGCCATCGGTTCAACTTTGTCGTCCCAGCAGCATTTGATAAAATTCACAATCTGTTCAAAATTAGGAGGAAAGCCTGTTTCTAATGTATGACACTCCCAAGGGTAAGTTTCAGGCGCTGGCCTTTCAAAAATATAGTTCATGTTGAGCACGACTTCCGTAGGAACTGGAAAACACCGCTTTAAATTGTTTTCAAGGCACTGCACTACACTAGTGTTCAAGTGGATTTGAGAAAACGATGCTGACAGGTCCCTGGCAAGCAGGAAACACTCGTGGCGCATGCTTCTATAAAAAAAATTATCGTCCAATATGACCAAAACACGCTCGTCAACCGCTCTGACCTCATTTCTCACACTCTCCAGAAAGCGTTTGCGCTTCACCTTCCAGCTTCCGTCTTTGAAATCTTTGAAATTCAGAGCCCTATCATACTCAAAGACAGTGACACGGGCGTCTGGAAATGAGTATAGACTGTAAGCGAGCTTGGTCTTCCCTGCACCTGGCAGGCCGACTAAGCAGACTATACTGACTGACATTGTTAACTTTTCATTGCTGCATCTTCCATCATCTTATTCATCTCCTGAATCCTACGTTCGGTAATCTGCGGTTGAATCTCAACATACGTCTTCATTATAGACTGACCTCCATACAGAAATTTAGTCGCACATAAATCCACACACCTGCTCTGTAAAATAAAACAAGTTGCAATGCTCTTACAAATTTTTTTTCTGTAAATGTTCTTACTTCTTTTTCAGTTAGCTCCCTGTAGCCCATAGTGTAGACGCAATGGTTGAAACATTTCTCTGATATTTTGTTATATATGTCTAAGAAATCTCTCATCTAAAAGAATAAACAATTTTTCAAAAAAAGTACAAATTCACGAGCAATTAAAAAATAAACTACCTGACGAATTTGGACATCCGACATGATTGAATAGTTTGAGAAGAAACTACCATCTAAAATCTAATTTCCTTCTGTATGAACCCTTATCAACATGGTATTTTAGAGGGAGGTTATGCAACGGTTATCATCTTTTCAATCAGTTGGGACGGCAACTGCATGACATCAAAGCAAATTCAAAATACAATTTTAAGGATTATAGGACAAAATGAAATGTGAAGAATTTAAATAAATAAATAAAACAAAAAAACGTAGAAACCAGATAGTACTTTTTTGTTTTTAGATGTCTTTCCACAGTTCAAATCGTGGAAAGACATAAAAAAACGGACTATTTGACTTCATTCCACGTCGTATAATACTTCAAAATAGAAACCAGAGATTTTTGGAATACTAAAATTAAGAAGAGGAGCTTCATAAATCTCCAAAATCCAATATAAAACAAGGAGCAGGGGGTAAGAAAACCAAATTTTTCCCTAAAAAAATCTTCGAATTTGAGGTTCAAGCAGTTGAACTTGGAAAAATTTTAAAAATGGGACTGCAAGGTTGCTCTCAAATAGCAGGATAACATTTTTAAAAAATTATACATTTGGAGTGCATAACTCTTCTTTAATCACTTGGTAAAAATGAACAATTTATCGTGTTGAGAGTGAATGTATTTGTTATCGTGAGTGTGTAGTGTGAGAGGGCCGATGGCGGAATATTGAGTTAATATGATGGTAAGGTTAGAGACGTTGCAGGGAGCTTGGATATTTTGCCTGAGGGCTTGTTATTGGGAAGCTTGGTTGAATATTGGATGACTTCGTGATGCCACACAGTTCTCGGTATGTACAAATAAGTCAAATTATTGTTTTGTAAAGTGTTTGTTACAGTTATGTCTGATTTTAGTTGTGTGATGACACCTGAAGCTACCACTGTTTCAACAAAGGTCTCCCCTTCCACGTTGCAGCAAATGAGCTTGAAGCAGGGGCTCATCCTGCTCATTTAAGATTCTTTATGATGTCAGGATCTTACAATGTCAAACGAGAAAATTGTATTGTAGTACATTACATAATGTACAATACCTAGTTTGTATATAACAATTTTATTTTGGATTCCAGCAAATTCTGTAATGCAGGTAATGAACGTGCGGATTCGCTATCCTGATAACCAACGTTGTCCAACATAAAATGACATAGCAAGTTATTTGACCTTTGTACATAAGAAGAAGATTAAAATTTGGCACAATGATTACAGTGAAACTGGAAAAGTGTTGTTTTATAAAAATAGGTATCCATGAATTACGATTTAAGACCTGGTTTTCAAATATCGATTAAGGGAATTGACATGGGTAAGATGCTTGGCTACGATCAAATCACGGTCTGTATAGAAGATAAAATCATTATAGTGCCAACTTACGTGCAAAGAACGCCGAAGGCTGCTGAACTATATTAAGTATTATGTAAAGAACGCGGTAGTTTATACAAGGACTAGGCATATACCCGAGACTTCGTCCAAGTGGAATTCTGTTTTAATGTACCTTTCTAATGCGATTCCGTGCTAATGTGGCTTTCTAATATAATGCATCATTTGTCAAATACTTCTCTTGTTCAGTTCACTTCGGTCCATACAAAGTAAAAAGTTGTCCTTATGATCCCCTGAGGGATGGAATTCGATCAAAAAATCCATTCTTAGCGGCCATGTCATTATAGGAATGAACACTCTGGATCAAAGAGAATTTAGTTACAATACCAAGCTTTCGATATATTTTAAGGACATCATCAGGGCAAAACAACCTGAAATATGTCTACAGATTGACATATGTAAGCTTTTACATAGGCGATCTCAAATTTCTTCGAAGACCGACTAAGTCCCAATACTAGGACTGTAACAATATTTAGATTATAGGAATGCACTGTCGAAATTTCAGTCCTTTAGATACAGCGGTTTGGTGTGTGCGTTGTCTGTCAGTCACAAACTGTTTTATCTTGAGCTCCAACGAGGTGATCACTACAATAGATAAAAAGAGTAGAAAATTTGATAAAGAGTAGAGTGTAATGAGTCTGCGAGCGATACATGTAACTAAAAGATCAAGCTGATGAAAAAACAAAAAATCTTGTTACTTTTTAGGTGAACATATGTAGTTTTATTGTGAAAAATTGAACGACGTTACTTTGATGTAAGTTTAAGGATGAAGAAATGGGCACTTTGCAGATTTTATCTTTTTTTCTGTTAGCATTGACCGTCACCGCCCAGCTCAAAAGTGGACGAAGGGCGAAAGAAAACGAATTTCCTTTTGCCGTTTGCATAGTCGGGGAGTACAGGATTCTAGGAAGTCTGGTCACGTTGGACAAACTCATCGCCAGCGCACAGGACCTAGTCCATGGATTAGAACACGTGGGAAAATTGTCAGTCGTGGCTGGTGTGTTGTCCATCGTTGATGTGAAGAACAAAAATTACCAAGTGCGCAGATTAATTTACTTCAAACCCTATTTCGACTTTCACTGGGACAACAATTACGGCATTCTCCACGACATCGCGCTGGCCGGAGTGGACAAGCCTTTCCTCAGAAGTGCCTCTGTGAACGTTGCACCTTTCATCTCAGGGGAGGCGGATGTGTTTAAAAGCACTTGGGACGAGCTGACCAGGAATAAAACGTTGTGCCAGGTCATCGGTTGGGGCGGCGTCAATGGTACAGAACGCTCCTGGTATGCAAATTTAATCACGACGTTGAGGTTATTCGATGTAACACTGGTAGAGGAAGATTCTTGCAAAAATACACTGCGACAGAGGTATACCCCCGATTTCATCTGCACCATTTCAAGCGATATTTTCAGCTATATAGCAGAAGCGACGGGATTTGGTGGAGTTTTGGTTTGTAAAGGCAACGTTTACGCAATCTTCTATCTAACTAGACTCAACGACACCGACCGTACTCACATATTCACCCTGATTTGGCGTTACCTCGATTATTTTAATCTTGGCGAACTTCGAATGAATATAACTTCGAGCAGTTCTCGACACTTCCTTTCCTTCCAGCTCTTTATTTTCACCGCTTATTATTTACGCCAGAAGTCGTAGGCATGACAAAACCTTTTTCCTAGTATCAAATCGAAATAAATTGACTGGACAAATAAAAATACGTGTTTGATTTTCTTTTTTTAAATTTTGAAACGGCAAGTTTAATGAAGGCACTGTAGTTGGTATTTGTTTTAACCGTTTAATCAAGGATATGCCTTCAGGTCCAATCACTTCTACCAGTAACGACTACAGAGAGAGGTCGATACCACCTTTGACATTTTCGTAAAAGGATCAGTTTGCTAGGAAAGCTTTAGAAAAATTTCGGCATCCAGGACTTCTGGGTAAATTAAAAGGTACCGCAGAATAGGTGATGTCTATTCATTTCGCACTATTAGCTCTTTTGGTAGCTATGGACGTTGCACCTGTCATCTAAATAGATTTTGGTGTTTAATACTATGCGACGCCGTTAGACACAAGATTTTTTGTTTGAAAAACTTTACTTCCAAAACATACATATTTTCTAATTACTCCTTTTTATTTTTCAGTAATACTAATGTACCCAAATAACTAATTAATTTAGAAAATAGTTGGCGACTTTTTTAAATATTGGTGCCATTGATATTTGTTTTTAGACAGTCATTTCCTTATGCAAATGATTACTTAGTTGAAATGACTTTCTTTTTTCACTCTCGAGGCCTGAAGATCGGGTTAGTGTAATGTCTAAAAAGGTATATTCTATTAGAAAGGACACTTCTAGAGTTTGGGTAACCAGTAATTATCATCTATTGTTATCTGTTCTTGAAAAACATGACAAGTAGAAATACAAGACCCGATACGAGATTTTGATAGGATGGGTTTACATTTTTAACTAGTGCTTTTTATAAATAAATCATTTACTTGAAACCAACTATGGACATCTAATGGTTGCACAATATCTGAAATTTATTTTGGTTAAAGGCTATTCTAATTGTGATAATGTGCGGTTAGTGTATGATGAAGTGTGGAATTACAGATCAATATATAAAATAATTACAAACCGCTAGGACTTTATCTTAAAAAAATAACATTGCTAGTTTTATCTCTCATCCATTTCAAAATTTTCAGGTGCAATAAAATTGATCTGTTTCATTTGGCTTTACATATTTAGAATTAACGCTACAACTCCAGTAGGGCGTGAGCCACCTAAAGATTCAAAGCCACTCTCTTCTGTTTTCCTTTTCCATCATCTTACTCAAACATTCCAACTTCCTCCTCCACGTCGTCCTCAGCCTCGATCGTCTTTTCAGACGTACCTCGCCTTGCCATCCCACCACCAATTTCTCGCATCCTTTGAACATGGTTTAGCTTTTTTTATATGGGCTACTATATCTTAGCCAACTCAGCTCTTAATTTTCGTGAATTTTCCGAATTCCATTTTCACAGCCTAATAATTGTTTTGTAGACAATGACTTTTCCTCTTCGAAATATTTCTTTATGTAACAATTTTTTTGTCCTAATAATCCTTAATAATATTGTATTTTGAATTTGCTTTGATGTCATGCAGTTGCCCCAACAGATTTGGTGATAACCGCTGCATATACCTCTGAAATACCATGTTGATAAGGGTTCATACAGAAGGAAATTAGTTTTCGGATGAGGATTAATTACTACCTGCTGCTGTTCGGGCTTTAATCTCGGCATTTATGTCTTGGTCCTCCATCACCAGTGCTCTCAGGTACTTAAAACTTTTGCAGCGTCCGAGTGCTGGTTTATCTGCACTTCTTCCTCCCTACTTCCTTGGGTTTTGGCAGTTTTCATATACTTCGTTTTATCCAAATTGATACTGAAGACAATTGCTGCTGTCGTTTCAAATTCCTCATCATAATATATATTTTTCCACTAGGGTTCATCTGGATCGATCTTATTGCCTTTTCGAGGGCCAAATAGAATAGAATGGGTGACAATGGGTTCCCCTGTCTAACCACTTGTAATTTGAAACTCCCTAGACAAGAGGGTCCTGCGGCCTTTTATCATTCCAAATCATTTTAACCAGTCTCATTTGGTTAAACGGTTTGATTTCGGTTTAAGTTTAAAAATTATAAAAAGCTTATTATAAAATATGTTTTATTAACACAAACAAAAAATATATAAGAACATTCGCATTCTATTGGGCTTATTACAAAAAATGCGTATGGCATGTTGATGTTGCTACATCATTCTAGAAAATAAATTAAAATATTGTACAAAAGTAGGAGAAAGAAGGGGAATGAATTAAAAATTAAAACTAGTTCCTGTAAACAGGCTTTCGTGCTCTGTTTCTGACCATGTTGTCAAGGTTGATCTTGTCACCGTTGGGAAAGACGTACATGTTGTTTGTGTAGTCGATGTAGCCCTCGTTGTTGCTCGCTTCGGTTTCAGAATCCCTCTTTTCGCATGGGATGCCACTGCTGTAAGAGTACTCGCGCCTCACACCGTCCGGATCGATATAGCCGTATTTTCCCGAAGTGACACAGTCGACTCCGATAGTCTCCTCTTTGAATGTGCCGTCGTCGTTTTCGAAACCCCAGGTGATGCTGCCGTCCTCATTCTCCTCTCTGTACTTCCTCAAAATCTGTCAAATAAAAAACAAACACTAATTTAAAAACCGTAGGAAGGTCACCAAACAAAACAGTGATATATAGAAAAATTCCAATAATGATTCTAAAAATGCAGAAACAACCCAAGATCTATCTACTAGGAAGAAAACTCAAAACAAACGAAGGAAGCATACTTGGTGGCCGGAAAAGAAAAGAAATAAACTTTTTTAATCAAAAATTCAGTTAAAATAATCACGTTAAACAAACCAAGAACATGTTCATTAATGTATTTTATCTGCAAAATAAGTAAAGTAGGCTGATCTTCTGTACCTGCCTTTGTTATATAAGCATGCAGTTGATATTTAAAAAATCTGCTTCTTCTCCAACTACTCTTAAACCTATCAACATTACGGTCCGAAATAAAATTTTGGTACAGATTCATAGATATAATCACTTCTGCTAGCTGCACAGAGTAGTCGTACAGCACTTGACAGTTTCAAAGAAAGATCAGTTTGCTTGGGAAGTCATGAATTGTGACATCCAGGATTTCTGGTCAAACAAAAGGAACGAAAGAATAGGTGTACATACTGATGATCACTTATTAGTGTCAGTGTCGCCTCTTTGAGCGTTGCAGCTTTCATTTAAGAGGCAACAGATATGTCCTAAAGTGCCTGGGATGCGCTGGCAAAAAACAGGGGTTCGTTAGTTTGGTCTGCATCATAAGCGACGAATTATCTTGCGAGCAGGATAAGGATTTGAAAGTAGAACGACTATTGAATAAAGATCCTAGAATGCCAGCTTGCTTGCAGAATTTCGAAAAATTATGGCGTCTTGTGATCCTGGTCAAACTAAAATGTACTACAGAACAGTTATTGATGACCAGTACACCATGGTTTATGCTTAATTCTTTCTTCCATAAGAATGCTTACGTGCTCACGGTTCAAGTGCCACGATGCACTTCCACTACAAACATAATATATAATTTATTTAGCTGTTGTTAAGAGGTTGGCTTTCATTTAAAATAATCATCTGGTAAATCTTAGTTGACATAAATTTATTGTTTTAAATTGAAAGACATTACATTACATTTGTTTGAAGGAAGGATGTCCATTTTGCAGCGTTTATCGTTTTTGTTGTTGGTTTTATCCGTCAGCGCCCAATACTACAGAGGACGAAAGGCGAAAGAAGGAGAGTTTCCTTATGTTGTCGCCATAAACGGTAGCTTCAAGGTAGCAGGAATTCTGATCTCTTTGGACAAAATCCTCACCAGCGCACATAGGATAGTTAATGAATTGAGAAGGGCTGGGAAATTGACGGCCGTGGCCGGAGTGGTGATCATCTCGAATAAAAAGGACGAACATTACCAAGTGCGCAATGTAATTTACTACAAACCCTATTTCGACTATCACTGGGAAAGACCTTACGGCGTTCTCCACGACATCGCGGTGGCCGGAGTGGACAAGCCTTTCCTCAGAAGCGCCTCTGTGAACGTTGCACCTTTCATCTCAGGGGAGGCGGACGTGTTCAAAACAGCTTGGGACAAACTGGCCAAGAATAAAACGACGTGCCAGGTCGTCACATGGGCTGGCATGAAAGGCAATTCTTTTAACGGCAATTCAGAAAACGATGTGACGTTGTGGGTGCTGAATGCCACGCCTCAGGAGGACGACGATTGCATTACGAGCCTGAACGAAATGTACTCCCCTGATTTCATCTGCGCCTCTTCAGTCGATTTATATCATCAAATAATAACATTAAAGATAACAAGCGGAGTCATGATTTGTAACGGAAATGTTTACGCTATTTACTATTTATTCCATAGCTCTAAGGACCGCGTCCACATGCTCTTGCGGTTATGGCGCTATCTTGATTATTTCAATCTCGGTGAGAAATCCTCTTCAAACAGTCTTCAACACTTCTTTCCTTTCCATCTCTTTGCCTTCATCGTTTACAACTTCTCCCAGAAGCCGTAGGCATGACAAAAACTAAGCACGTTTACCTCAGGATTGAATCGAATTATGGACAGATTGGACAATAAAAACAGATGAAAAAAGACCAAAACAAGCAAATCTGATTTTATTTTTTAATTTTGAAACATTTGATTTTAATTAAGACATTATTGTTCTATTATAGTTAAATCTAGGCAAATTACTTACCGAAACAAAATATACTTCAGATGACCGCCTATATCGGCCTAGTCTATCTTTCCAACAGGACCTTTTATGACAAACATCAGTATCGAAACTGTCCAAAACAGTTAAAAGCCGAAATTCCTCCTTCTAGTATTTGCTTCAGGTATTTGAGTAAGTATTTGAGACGATACTGCAGCTTAATGGCCAGTTTGCAGAAATAAATTTTCAGAAGTATCCTGAGTTTGAAGAAGTTGTAAGGCTCAGATAAGAGAGAACTAGCTCTATAGTTACTTAGACCGCGAACTGAACAAAAAATTCGGATAATCGTATTACTCTCCTGATACTTAAATGAATCAGATTCCAACTAAAGCCATTTCTAAACTAAAAAACACAGTTACTTGTAAGAAATTTTGGGTTTATTACATAAGACAACAGAATCCAGGCACTTTGAAATATGTGTAAAAGTATGAACATCACTGTTGTTCATCTTTATTGCAGCCATCCATAAAGATGGGTTCTGGAAAGTTCAAACGCAACAAGCTTATGGAGAACAACAAGCTTAAAGATCAGTTGTGTACAATTAAAGTATCTTGATTTTTAAATATGTTATTTTAAATTAAAATAAACCATCTGAAAAACTTTAGTTAAACATATGTGGTTTTATTGTGTAAAATTTAAGAACGTTGCTTAAAATTGATTTTGATGAACGGCAGTGTCCAGCTCAAAAAGGACAAAGGGCGAATGAAAACGAATTTCCTTTTTCGGTCTGCATAGTCGGGGAGTTCAAGATTCTAGGAAGTCTGGTCACGTTGGACAAACTCATCACCAGCGCACAGGACCTAGTCCATGGATTAGAACACGTGGGTAAATTGTCAGTCGTGGCTGGTGTGTTGTCCATCGTTGATGTGAAGAACAAAAATTACCAAGTGCGCAGATTAATTTACTTCAAACCCTATTTCGACTTTCACTGGGACAACAATTACGGCATTCTCCACGACATCGCGCTGGCCGGAGTGGACAAGCCTTTCCTCAGAAGTGCCTCTGTGAACGTTGCACCTTTCATCTCAGGGGAGGCGGATGTGTTTAAAAGCACTTGGGACGAGCTGACCAGGAATAAAACGTTGTGCCAGGTCATCGGTTGGGGCGGCGTCAATAGTACAGAACGCTCCTGGTTTGCACCATTTGTCACGACGTTGAGGTTATTCGATGTAACGCTGATAGAGGAAGATTCTTGCAAAAATGCACTGCTACAGAGGTATACCCCCGATTTCATCTGCACCATTTCAAGCGATGTTTCCAGCTATATAGCAGAAGCGACGGGATTTGGTGGAGCTTTGATTTGCTACGGGAACGTTTACGCAAACTACTATCTATATCGTGGCTTTAGAAGAAACCGTATTCACGTATTCGTCCTATTGTGGATCTTGATTATTTTCATCTTGGCTAACCTGGAACGAACGTATCTTCGAGCAGTCCTGAACTCTTCCTTCCTTCCATCTTTCTCTTTTCATCGATTATTATTCATCCTAGGAGTCGTAGGCATGACAGATTCTAAGCAAGTTTGTCCTAGTATTGAATCGAAAAAATATAATAGAGAAAACAAATGAAACTCACGTCTGATTTTTTTTGCCGAATCACAAGATGTTTTCTACTTTGAATCTTATAATGAAGGCACAGCACTAACAAAAGTAAAAAAAAAAATCTAAAAATTTTAATTTTTTCAACGTAAGGTTCAAAGTATATGAGACGGTAAGTAAGTGTTTTACAAAAGACCCTGAAAATTATGGGGTTGCAGGGTTGCAGTCATAGAAAACAATAGAGTAATTTTTTTCCCGATTTACAAACAATAGAAACTTTTTACCTTAAGACAGATGTAATCAACCGACCTTTAGCGATGACATGTAAAAATGATGAAAATGTTCAAATTGCTTAAATAAAAATGCACGTACCTGAGCGGTTGGCTTTTTCTGTCTTGTGGGTTCGTCTTTTGAGTGGACGGCCTGTTTCTGTACGGGTCTTGAGACTTGCTGTTGCCTGTTGAATTGTTGGTTGTGTTGGACTGGCCTGTGCCTTTCTTGCTGATTCCTGCTCTCCTGTTGCGGCCTGGGCTGTCTCACGTACTGCTGAACCTGTTCTTCTTCGACGGGCTGGGGTGCCGGTCTGTGGTACTGAAATGTATCAAAAGGTTATTTGACGTTTAGATGTTCGAGGTTTCGGTTTTTGAAATACCTGCTGTCTATTGGGCTGGGGGAAATCTTCCGGTACGGGCCTGAAAGCGGGAGTAGACGGCTGAGGAGGGAGGGCGGTAGGCTGTGCCTGGATCGTGGGCAAGACTGGGGGTGAAAGAGGCAAGTTTTCTTCTTCAACTTCTTCTTCCATCACGGGTCTCGGGGCAATCTGGACAGGTGGAGGCGGCGGCCTGACCGGAAGGGGCTCTTGGTAAAGGGTGGGCCTCGGCCTCTGCAAAGACTGATCTAGGAGGGGAGGAGGAAGGCGCCTTTGCCCGCCACGTCCTGACAAACGTCTCTGGGGTACAAGTGGAAGGTCATCCTGTTGCTGGAATTGCTGCCGCCTCCTGTAAGTGGTAGTCCTTCCTGCTGGTACAGCTCCAGGAACCACAGGTCGCGGCGGTACAGGACTATCGTACTGCGCCGACACTGCGACTATTATCGCAAACTAAAGAAAACAAATATTTTAAAAATATATTTCTTAGATGAAATGAAAGCTTTGGCAAACCTAACCTACTTACTGAGTGATACTATTGTAAAAACAATAAATAATGTTTATTATATCATAATATACAACCATTTTACAAGGCTCTAAAATTTCCAAATTTTCAATATTATATTGTTTATTAATGATTTGATGAAAGGTTCAAATAACCATAATTTTATGATATTGGTCATCCTTTGACAGGATTTAGCACCCGGGCTTCCTATGCATCCTGCCCAGTACGTACATACTACCTTATACTAAAATTGAACTGTCTGAATATTATTTCAGAGTAAGACAGGGCAGAACGATATCCTCTATCTATCATACCCAAACTGGTGTCCTACAAGGGAGCATTCTTGGACTTGTCCTTTATACGATATACTGCTTACATTTCTATCCTTCCAAAATCAATTCTCACCATTATTACGGTGGTGAACAGGAACGTCACACCTACGGTACACTAACGGGATATCAGTACCCTGTGGCGTACAGGAACGTTACTTGCTAAGTTGTATGAGAACCTACGGCCCAAAAGTGATTTGGTAAGTTTTTTGCCAACCCACGAACAGAATTGGCTGAACTTAGTGAATTTTTCGTTGGTCAAGCGAATATTGAACGGTCACAACATTTTTACACAAAATGAAGCGTCAGGGTATGTATAAATCATTGTGATTTTCTTCCTTTATGCAGTTTGATGAAATCTTTTTCTGTTAATTTAAAAAAATGTAAATTATACGGAGTATGACATAATGCGACTTTTTTAAAGTTAAGAATTAATGTGAAATTCCATTGAGCCGACGAGGTAAAAAAAAACAGAACAAAAATAAAACCGCCGAAGCCGCGTCGCCTTGAACTTTCTCTAAGTTGATATAATTTATAAAAGCATCCTATTCTTTGATTCCTGTTGCTGAACGGCCCCATTCAATGCTAATTTTCTCAGGTCCGCTTTCTAGACTGTTTCCAACCGAATCATCGCTTCGGGCCGTTTCATCTATTTTCTTTTTAATTTTCATTGTTCGTCAAGTTATTTTGTAATAATGGAATGTACTACCAATAATATGGAATTTTTTTTTAATTGTTGAAAATTTCATATCGAGTAGATTTATAAGTGGCAAATTGACAACTTGTAAATTATAAACAGATCTGTCTCGCTCCGATAAATCTACCTCCTTCATGCAACTATCAGACAAGAAGATACAAAGGAACAATGTATAACGATGAAGTTGCGCAACATAAGGTGAAAGCATTTTATTAAGGATAAGGATGATACTTTTGACAAAGCTATCTTCATAAGTGGCTTTTACGTCTACCCACCTAGGGAAGAGTAAGAAGCAAATTTCAACGATCTTCTCGTTTTTCTTAATTTAACAATTCACCAATTGCACAACGCACGGGTCAGTTTTGGCCGAGAAAGCGTTTTATTGGGTAGAATTTTCGACGCCGCAGATTGCTTTCGGTTTTTGAAAAAGGATCTTTATCTCAGCCAAGCGGCCGCAAAGACCTGGAGAAAGGAAGCGACGTCCGGTGAGAGGAGTGCGGTCGAAGCCTTGAAATCACTTCCTATCAGTCATGACAATTACAGGTGAAACAGTAAACCTAGAATGGACTATTTTGTACGAAAAGATCGCAAGTAGCTGCCGATTTATTTATAGCGAAAATTGTCTTTCACCACTCGTTTCTCCTGTAACTGTCACTCCTGTTTTTATGTTCATAGCCTTCTCTCTCTCTCTCTCTCTCTCTCTCTCTCTCTCTCTCTCTCTCTCTCTCTCTNCTCCCTTTCTCTATCTCCCTTTCACTTTCTCATGCTCTCTCTCTCTCTCACTCACTCTCTCTCTCTCTCTCTCTCTCTCTCTCTCCCTCCCTCTCTTTCTCTCTCTCTTTCTCCATTGCATACATACAAACATGAATTTCCTTCCATTTTATATATTTCAAATTATCTTGTCCTAACATTTCTTTCTCTCACATTATCTTTTCTCATCCTTTTATAACGTATCTCACTCTCTCTCTTCATCACACATACACACACAGGCACAAACACAAACCCGAATTTCCTTCCATTTTACCTCTCAAATTATCCATTTTTCTTGTCCTATTATTTCTTTCTCACACATTATCTCTTTTTATTGTCTTAGTAAGTCTTTCTCTTTTTCTCTCCCTCTTGTGTTTTGTAGAGTTTCGTCTTGGGTCCGCTGTTAATTTTCATCAATGTTATGGGATTTTTTTAAAATGGAGGATGGCATTAGGAAAATGAATTTGTATTTGTATTTGTAAGTAGGCTGAGAGTAAGAAATTGTCGGTTCATAAAGATGAACGCATGAAGTGTTGTTGATAGCTCAAGGTTTCCTTATTCTTAAATCCCACCTACCTAAACCGATACTTGCAAACACCAAGGTGTTCTACTTTTATTTATCACATTTTAGCCGGCGTCACCCAGGGAAGCACGTTTGCTTCCTTACTTTTACCCTTAGTCTTTTCTTCACAGCTGATCTCCCATTGAGACAGCAAATGATCCTGAGTTCGGGCTGGATGCAGCAGGTGTGTTGTACGTTTAAATTTAAGTCCGATGTGTGGTGAGTAGTGACCACAACACGACACGCAAGAATGGCACAATTACACAGGAGACAAACACTTTGAGCCCTGAAGATGATCTCAATAAAGATCGAAACGTTGGCACGATAAAGAAAATGTTTTTCTGAAACCTATATCACACCAGACCGCATCTCTCGATTTCTGAATAATTTTAAGTCCTATGTTGTAAGGAGGTTATATGAACTATCGTGGGATGGTGTTTTCGAAAAAAATGTGTAAGTATACCGGGAATTCAGGGCTGTTGGATTCAAAACCGGGACCTTATGCCGGTGTTAACGCCTTAACTGCTGCTGCACCGACGCCCCCGCGATATTTAACTAAAGCTTTTGCCTGTCTCTGGCCGTGGACCTTGTTCCACCAGGTATGTATTCTTAACACGATCCATTTGAAATAAGGTGCTTTTGTATGATAGTTCAAAATTTTACAGAAGAGTTCTGATTCTTAGGACGCTCTCGCTAATTTATCTTTAATCTATCTCATCTCTAGCTTCTTTGGTCCTGTCCTGTCTGCCCGAGAACGAAGCAATATACAGTTTCTTTCCTATTCCTATTTCTCCCTGGGAACTCAAGCAGTGTGTTCTTACACGATTGGCTGCATAAAGAGTTAAAGCTACAATTTTGTTTGTCTAGTTAAGAAAATTTTCAAAGTCGATGACCGAAAATACGCACAATTGAACATGGTTATTGAATGAGTTAATTTGGTTCAATTAAACATTTAAAACTCCAGACACGTATATGTAACAGATTTGATTAGAATTTTAAACAGCATTAGCTTCTGAGATCCCGTTGATATTTAAAGGGTTGACACGTTGGGCAACAGAGCCCCATTTTGAATTTTTACAAAACTGTTTACGAGTCCGGAGAGGCCACTTGTTATCAAACGCCCAAGATGGAAATAAGGCCGGGTGGTTTAAAAACTGAATATTCATACGGTTTTCGTCCCGAGGCGTGCACAGTGGACTACGTGGCTAACTGTCGTGACCATACGTGCGCCGAATGGACTGAGGATCCTCGAGAATACGGAGCCAACAACGGGGTGCCAGACTTCCGTTAACGTTTTTTTAATATTTATGCTTATTTCAGAAGAGGGGACCGCAGCCTGTGAATACGGTAAATACTGAAAGATAAAGAGATAAAATCTCTCTTTCTCTTTATTGACAACCGATTTATACCAGTTACGAAAAATACAAAATACCATCCAATACTCAGGCTATGATATCACAAAAAACTGAATTTTGTTTAAAACAAGCTGCTTTTATTGTTACATGATCTGCTCCACAGGTTTAAAAACTCCAAACTCCGGTCCAATAAAGAGTTCCATAAAAAGCTATAAGCGGATTTTTATTAGATTTTATATAATGGATTTGAAAGATTTGTAAAGGTTTCCTCTGATTCGGTTTACATTCACTCGACGACTGTATTTTTCCTGTTACGATATATAAGTGAGGGATAGCAGTTTCGAAACGGTCGACACGCCCTTTGTTGCGAGATTGACAACAATGAGCAAATAGGAGAAGCACTGTTATACCATTGTATCAAGCCGTTCATAATTAACTCCTTCGGGCGTTCCATCAGCCATTATTGCTGATTGAGACATTCTATTTTCTTCCTGGATGAACAAGACAGGTGAACCAACTCCGTCACATCTGACGCGAATACTCTTTGCAATTGTATAGTTCTATGTGTAAAACAAAAAGGACAGGATGTTTTAGTAATACCTGTTGATCGTTCTTATGATAAATGTTTATGAATGATTGAAACATCAAGATCGCCGATTAGAGGCTGATCGTGGCTAAGGTCAAACGGCGGACCAGATCAAAGCGAACAAAGGTGATTAATTTATTCTTTAACCTTTGCACCCTGCAGGGGGAGCACATCCATCGACGTGCGTATTTCTCTGAGAAAAGGATAAATTAAATAAAACAGTATCGCAAAAGAGATTCGGTAACGCCTGGGGCATGTCCGGGCATGGTACTGAAGACGATCGCACGAAGCAAAAGTTGGAAACAACGCGAACAAACCAACCGTAAATGTCAACAGATAATTTTTTAAGCAATTAAGACTTATAAAATATTATAATTAATTCAATTAATTATTCTTTTTGTGTCTATGGTCTTGACTGAGATGAAATAGCGTCGCAAGCGGGATTCAAACCCACGACCTTCGCCTCAATACGCCACTGCTCTAACCGGTTGAGCTATTGTGACGTGCGTTCGAATCCCGCTCGTATTTGAAATAATTAATATGGTCAATTATGACAGTTAAACATATATGGATTATAATTATGTTTGATATATTAGAAGTTGACAATTCATACAACAATAAAAGTTATCGGCGGTATTCATTTTCAGATTTCCTATTTTAAGAAAAACG